TCATCGCGTTCTTCTACTTCCTCTGACCATAACTCCCCCCCCCCCCCGCTGTATTAAATAATGTTTTAATGCTGGACTAAGGTGGTGGTGGAGTGTGCAGAACATTATGGAAGTACCAATACATACGACATATAGGGACGACTAGGGTGTGAGAGTGTCTTCTGCCCCAAAACAGAGCTGCTGACCCCAATCCTCCACCAGGATATAATCCTCTTCAATACTAAACAGTATACATGTAATGTTCACGATTGTGGATGGTGCACGCGCCCAAGGTACACAAACCACACTTCTACATCATTTCAATTGTAGAAACGAAACCTACAGCAGTCAGTAATGCAGTCTTAACTACCTCCCACGGGAGGGGGTGGGTGGGCAGAGAACGAGCGAGGAACGACGGGGGGGGGGGGGGAGAGAACGAGCGAGGAACGACAGGGGGGGGGAGAGAAGACAATTAAAAATATTTGAGCGAATTTATTTTTCCTAAAAAAAAAAAAAAAAAAAAAAGATTTGAGGAAATATTCATGGCGTAAGAGACTACGAATAGCCTCTTACGCCACGAATAAATCATTTGCAAGGCAACTACAGAGGACAAAGGGATAACAACAGTGATCAGATACAAGCCCCAGCCAACACCAGAGGCGCAGGGAAAAGAACGAGCAGAACAATTAAAATTGCCTCGAGGTCCTTGAGAGAGCAAGAATGGTGGCGTATGGATGAAGGGGAAAAAGCTCATAGTTCTCAGCGGCAAATCACATAAAAATTTACTAGGTAACGAGGGATCCCCACGGAGGGAAGAACACGTGGAGGCCAAGCAACCTGGAGCAGCAGAACAGACAAGGTGGAGGACACAATGAACAGATAACACTAGATATGTTCACTCAGTGGAGGAGAGAGTGAGGACGACGACCACACAAAGACGAGAGTATCCCTCCAGGAAGTGTAGTGGCAACACCAGCTACAAGGTAGAGGAACATAGATTATGGAGTGAACAGCACACAAGCGCGCGGAGGCTACACAACAGCTCATACCACACAAGAGAGAAGCAAAAGAAGTGCATAATTAACATTCGGTTCAACAGACAATGCATAGAGGCCAAAAACAGAATGACGGCGGCTAGGGAAATAAGTACAGAGTACCGAGGTAAAGTTTGAAGACAGTAGCTAATGCCAAGTAACTTCTAATTTAACTTCACATCCAAGCAAAAAAGAAATGAACATAATGGGCCCAAATAATTAGGCTAAGGTAACCACAGAAAGTGACAAGCGTCTGTGATGAACTCAAACAAATTTCAGAGCCTTAAGGTTGAGCTTGAGTAGACAGCTGGAACAAGAAATTAGAGGAGTTCAAACATACTTTTTAGTCCTAGTTGTCCAGAACTAATACTTAAAAGTATCTACAGACTTATCAAAAGCCCTCCATTATCGGTCGACGAATAGGGGGGCCTTCGACAAGCCGCCGCTTTCCTGTCCTCGTCGAGGCCGCTAGTGTTAGTGGCTATCAAGTAAACTCAGAAAAATTTATGTAAGATCTGACCCACATATACAACTCCAGGTAAAAATATAAAACTGTATTTGGTAGCATGCAGCAAATATCTTTTAATTGACAGGAAAAGCAACGTAAAAGATATAAAGAGTAATTATGTCAGAAGACCTTACTGTTAAAGAACGCCACGAATAGCCGTCACAAATGCAAGAAAAATGACAGGTTGGCTAACAAGAACGTTTTAGACAAGAGATGCCTCGCCAATGATGACACTTTTTAAGACACCAGTGCTCTCTAGGGCTGAAATATTGTTACACAATATCAGCTCATTCAGGAGAAATTGCTGACCTGGAGAGCGTGCAAAGATCCTTTACCACTAGAATCCACTCAAACTATTGGGACTGCTTAACAAATTTATATCTGTATTCCCTAGAGAGCAGGCGGGGGAATAGAGAATAATTTACACTTGCAAAACACTAGAAGGACTGGTTCCAAATCTGCACACGAAAATAACACCACACGAGACCAGGAGGCATGGCAGGATGTTCAATATAGTCTCATTGAAAAGGAAAGATGCAATAGGTACGCTGAGGGAGAACTATCAACATAAAGGGCCCAAAACTTTTCAACACTACACATGCAAGCCATAACTGGCCGACTTCACGAGTGTTCAAAAGAGACTGAAACACCTTCAAAGGATACCTGATCAACCAGGTTGTGATTCATACGCCAAACTTCGAACAGCCTGGTTGACCAGACCACCAACCTGGGGGCGTGGTTAGGGACGCAGGGACGTTGATCCTCGAAATCAACAGTTACGACAGAGTAATGTGGATTGACTTTTGTAGCAGCTGTGTCGAGACAGATGCCAAGCACAACATACCCAGGACCTCCGACACCCACACAATCAGATCCAGCCTCCACTGTGCTGCCCTGACAATCATCACTCTTAAATAGGAAATCTTGAAAGCTTCGAAACTCTACAAAACAAAGGAGCAACTACAAGGTAAGGTAATTATCAAAAGAAGGCACCAAACCGGGAAGGCTATGTAGCACCAGGAACAACTACAAGCATCACGGTGACACCAGAAATTGACGAGATCAAAACGTGTATTGTTGGCAACACTCCTGGAACACTTGCAACTACACCCCAAACTGACACCATCCTTGGCCGTCAGGATCGCCATAAAGGAAAGCTCAGAGATCATCAATGACGCTAAAGAAATGTAAAATGTGGAAGGAGCAAGAGTTGTGGAGCACCGCAGCAGGCGTGGTGGCCCATACCAGAAGTCCTGTTTACATCGCATCTTCTCGCCCACACACCGTGTCTTTTCAACGGTGTTCAAGAAATGTGCAATTACTTCATTAAAAATTTATGTAATACCGAAAATCATAGCTAATTATCCACAGTTTGATTACTGCACTGTAGGTAATGGCCGTCCACCTGCCGCCCAGGTGGACGGCAGGTGGTTGTATAGACAGCTGTGGGCCACTTCCTGAACTACTTGTAAATATAATAAGACATAATATGCATGTGTATATATATGCATTATAAATTGTAACCAAGTAATTATCAAAAGAAGGCGCTCAGTCGGGGAAACTATATAGAACCATTAAAGTTGCAGGATGTTCGAAGGGCGCTAAATATAACTAAGGATGCCAATACGAGAACAAAAGAGCACAAGGCGAGCGCATCAAAAGTATCTGATTCACCAAGGATGCTATCGAGGGACAAGTGACCGCGAGGGACGGTCGGAAAGCAAGACAAGTTCGTCCTGGAAGTCCGGACATTCAACAAGGACATGCACGACCGTAAGAGGAACAATTCATTTAGGACAATAAGGAGCAGGGCGGCGCTCCATTAAGTGCCCGTGTTAAACGCAGCTTCGCAACATTGTTAGTTGCTTAGATAAATTAACTTTGGGTTCAGTTCCTGAATCCATTTTGTGCTTCTGTAACCCTTTCCACCACCGTCCACGAGATGGGTATGGGGTGTATAATTATTTACTAAATAATTTATTCAATCTATTATAAAAACTCTGTTAACCTGCTTCTCTCAATGCTAGTAGCCGGCCTATTCCATTCATTCAGAATTATATTTCTAGGCTAGTGCTTCCCTATATCTCTCCTAAATCATTTCTCCAGGTTATACGCACTTGTGTGTGTATGTCCTCCCCGTCCCCCTTGTCCTGTGTCTCTAGCAAGTGCAGATTAAGACACGAATGCGTCTTCGTGGGAAAGGTCAGGTATCAGGCATCAACCTTGATGAACTGTTTTCCCTTGAGTCCAGGTGATGCCTCACCAGTGCTATATATACATATATATATATATATATAGCTGAAGGATGATCCAACTTCTGAAGGACCCGATGAAGAGCGGCGACTGATCACACTAGAGTCAAGGCATTTATCTGTCACACCTCAAAGCTGGAGCCTCGGCGGAATTACTGAAAATACGACCTAACACCCACACTACACTGACGGATCTCTTGATCAACACTCTACCCATGCTGCACCAGCTCTCTACAACCAACTTCTACTGATCAACCCTCAATATCTCTACAATTCAGATCGAAACGCTCGCTATCAGAATGTTTCTTGCCAACGTTAATGTAATGCTCGATTGGATAACCGCTATTCAAACTGGGTGAATAGACACCCTGTCGTTCCTTCAGCACTTCCCATCAGTTGCCTGGTAAAGTTACCACGTACAAAGCACCCACCTACAGTATAGAGACGACCAGGGCTGAAGAACGGATGACAGACCAACTTGGCCAGCAAGCCATATGTCTGGAACACCGTAGCCCGTCATCAAAGCAAGGTTGAAACACCTACGGTAAAGATGATAAAACACAGTGAACGTCGGTTTCACAAGTCAAATACTTGTAAGCTCTATATGAACTTACATGACAGTACTTGACTCAGCGCCCTTGACCATGTTCCAAGATGTGACAATTTAATTCGTTCACTTACAGCCAGTACAGTAAAAACCCACTAAATCAACGTAACCCAATCACCTTACTTAACCTAGGCCTGAACATGACGATGCATAAACACACAATGTTCGAGAATAAAAACTGAAGTTTATAAACATTACAGATTCGTCGTGCAAGTTGGTTGTCTGGTGAACAGGTCAACAAACTTCGGACTTACAAACATCTAGGCAGGTCAGCACTCTCCCTACAGCTCAGGCAGGAGGGAGACTGGCCCCAGGACCACACAAGGCAGTGTAAATGTGTGTTCACGTGTGATACCTGCAGTGGCTCAGAGGTTCTTACTCCCCAGGCCCTGGTCTTAAGCCCGGCATGACGTGTGGTAGCCTAGCCAACAGGGCTGTTGACTGGAGTGGCTCGCAGGCCCACCTACCCACCACAACCTGGTTGGTCAGGCACGTCTTGCAGGTCTGTTTTTGTTCAGGTAATATTTCTTAACGCTGGATACCTGGTCTGGGAGGGGGGCTGGCGAGGCAGGGCGGTGAGGCAGGCCGGGGCGGGAGTGACCTCGCCCGGAGGAGCTTGAGGGCGTGGTCCTGACCGAGCACATATAAGCACCCGCCTCGCCTCCTCCAGACAGTCTACTCCAGGAACCACAAGTGAACACTACATCATGAAGGCCCTGGTAATGCTGTCTTCCGTCCATAGATGGGGCTCAAGTGTCCGCGCTTCATATAGTCTGCACGCAACCTGTGTTGGGGGTGAACATGAGGCACAGTGTGAGGGGTGAACATGAGGCACAGTGTTGGGGGTGAACATGAGGCACAGTGTGTGGGGGTGAACATGAGGCACAGTGTGTGGGGGTGAACATGAGGCACAGTGTGAGGGGCGAACATGAGGCACAGTGTTGGGGGTGAACATGAGGCACAGTGTGTGGGGGTGAACATGAGGCACAGTGTGTGGGGGTGAACATGAGGCACAGTGTGGGGGGTGAACATGAGGCACAGTGTGGGGGGTGAACATGAGGCACAGTGTGGGGGGTGAACATGAGGCACAGTGTGGGGGGTGAACATGAGGCACAGTGTGTGGGGGTGAACATGAGGCACAGTGTGTGGGGGTGAACATGAGGCACAGTGTGAGGGGCGAACATGAGGCACAGTGTGTGGGGGTGAACATGAGGCACAGTGTGTGGGGTGAACATGAGGCACAGTGTGTGGGGGTGAACATGAGGCACAGTGTTGGGGGTGAACATGAGGCACAGTGTGTGGGGGTGAACATGAGGCACAGTGTGGGGGTGAACATGAGGCACAGTGTGGGGGGTGAACATGAGGCACAGTGTGAGGGGTGAACACGAGGCACAGTGTGAGGGGTGAACATGAGGCACAGTGTGTGGGGGTGAACATGAGGCACAGTGTGTGGGGGTGAACATGAGGCACAGTGTGGGGGTGAACATGAGGCACAGTGTGTGGGGTGAACATGAGGCACAGTGTGGGGGGTGAACATGAGGCACAGTGTGTGGGGGTGAACATGAGGCACAGTGTGTGGGGTGAACATGAGGCACAGTGTGGGGGTGAACATGAGGCACAGTGTGTGGGGGTGAACATGAGGCACAGTGTGTGGGGGTGAACATGAGGCACAGTGTGTGGGGGTGAACATGAGGCACAGTGTGTGGGGGTGTGAGGCACAGTGTGAGGGGTGAACATGACAGTGTGTGGGGGTGAACATGAGGCACAGTGTGTGGGGGTGAACATGAGGCACAGTGTGGGGGTGAACATGAGGCACAGTGTGTGGGGGTGAACATGAGGCACAGTGTGTGGGGGTGAACATGAGGCACAGTGTGTGGGGGTGAACATGAGGCACAGTGTGTGGGGGTGAACATGAGGCACAGTGTGTGGGGGTGAACATGAGGCACAGTGTGTGGGGTGAACATGAGGCACAGTGTGTGGGGGTGAACATGAGGCACAGTGTGTGGGGGTGAACATGAGGCACAGTGTGTGGGGGTGAACATGCGGCACAGTGTGTGGGGGTGAACATGAGGCACAGTGTGTGGGGGTGAACATGAGGCACAGTGTGTGGGGGTGAACATGAGGCACAGTGTGTGGGGGTGAACATGAGGCACAGTGTGTGGGGGTGAACATGAGGCACAGTGTGTGGGGGTGAACATGAGGCACAGTGTGTGGGGGTGAACATGAGGCACAGTGTGTGGGGGTGAACATGAGGCACAGTGTGTGGGGGTGAACATGAGGCACAGTGTGTGGGGGTGAACATGAGGCACAGTGTGTGGGGGTGAACATGAGGCACAGTGTGTGGGGGTGAACATGAGGCACAGTGTGTGGGGGTGAACATGAGGCACAGTGTGTGGGGGTGAACATGAGGCACAGTGTGTGGGGGTGAACATGAGGCACAGTGTGTGGGGGTGAACATGAGGCACAGTGTGTGGGGGTGAACATGTGTGTGGGGGTGAACATGAGGCACAGTGTGGGGGTGAACATGAGGCACAGTGTGTGGGGGTGAACATGAGGCACAGAACATGAGGCACAGTGTGGGGGGTGAACATGAGGCACAGTGTGTGGGGGTGAACATGAGGCACAGTGTGGGGGGTGAACATGAGGCACAGTGTGTGGGGGTGAACATGAGGCACAGTGTGTGGGGGTGAACATGAGGCACAGTGTGTGGGGGTGAACATGAGGCACAGTGTGTGGGGGTGAACATGAGGCACAGTGTGTGGGGGTGAACATGAGGCACAGTGTGTGGGGGTGAACATGAGGCACAGTGTGAACATGAGGCACAGGTGAACATGAGGCACAGTGTGTGGGGGTGAACATGAGGCACAGTGTGTGTGGGGGTGAACATGAGGCACAGTGTGTGGGGGTGAACATGAGGCACAGTGTGGGGGTGAACATGTGTGGGGGTGAACATGAGGCACAGTGTGTGGGGGTGAACATGAGGCACAGTGTGTGGGGGTGAACATGAGGCACAGTGTGTGGGGGTGAACATGAGGCACAGTGTGTGGGGGTGAACATGAGGCACAGTGTGTGGGGGTGAACATGAGGCACAGTGTGTGGGGGTGAACATGAGGCACAGTGTGTGGGGGTGAACATGAGGCACAGTGTGTGGGGGTGAACATGAGGCACAGTGTGTGGGGGTGAACATGAGGCACAGTGTGGGGGGTGAACATGAGGCACAGTGTGAGGGGTGAACATGAGGCACAGTGTGGGGGGTGAACATGAGGCACAGTGTGTGGGGGTGAACATGAGGCACAGTGTGGGGGGGTGAACATGAGGCACAGTGTGGGGGGTGAACATGAGGCACAGTGTGGGGGGTGAACATGAGGCACAGTGTGTGGGGGTGAACATGAGGCACAGTGTGTGGGGGTGAACATGAGGCACAGTGTGTGGGGGGTGAACATGAGGCACAGTGTGTGGGGGTGAACATGAGGCACAGTGTGTGGGGGTGAACATGAGGCACAGTGTGTGGGGGTGAACATGAGGCACAGTGTGTGGGGGTGAACATGAGGCATAGTGTGTGGGGGTGAACATGAGGCACAGTGTGTGGGGGTGAACATGAGGCATAGTGTGGGAGGCCTAGGAAATTTAAGATTTGGTTGTTGCCTTCTTTCTCGGCTTCTAAAAATCAATAGCATAAAACATGGGCATTGCTTGGGTTCAGAAGTTCATTTTATGTAAAGATATATAACCTGCATAGTGGCTACAGGTTCCATCACTTTGGACGAGAGGGCAACTTCCTTAGGCAGGTTGTGCTGTTCTGCCTCCAACCCGTCCACAGACCAAGTCCATTCCATCCAACGGTCGACTCCAAAGACGCATTCATAAATTTTAAGAATATAATATGAAATGAACATGGAGGATAGTGTGGAAAAACCATGGAGGATAGTGTGGAAAGAACATGGAGGATACACTTTGGAATTAACACGGAGCGTACTCTGTGGATCGATCGAGAAAAAATATAGTTCAAATTAATCATGACCAATACATAGAGTATGAAATGAACATGAATAGTGTGAGGTGAACTTCAATAATTCAATGTGGCATGAGCACGAGTCCAGGAGTGTTGTTGTTGTTTAAGATTTGCTGCCTGGAACAAAAAGTTCCAAGTAGCACGGGCTATGGTGAGTCCGTAGTGGACTTCTTATGTGCAGGAGTGACTAGGAACATGGCCCCGAGAAGTGAATATGCATTATAGACACGTGTTCTTCGTGTAGGTCACGTTAGGCGAGCTAAATCACTTTGCAATAAAAGCCTTTCCTAACCCGATCATTGTCTTAATTACCTAACTAAGCCACAACAAAGGTTGCCATATTTTAGTAGCCTAATGGTATTTATTGCGTAGTTTGTTTGAACTAATTTCTGTACTGTCTAGGGTAGTTGTCGTTACCTTAACTAACAATGTGAAATGTGATTTTTTTCTGTTTAAGACGTTTATTTCCAACTGAACAGCCCTGCAATTTCCTAGGCTGGTGTTCTATTTTTAAAGAAAGCTTGACCATCACTAACAATTAATGTCATTACATTTCTACTGATATTTTCAGATATTATTTCTTATCGTCTTCTTGTTTAGTATCACATATCAAGTAGTAACTAACATTTTCACTATGATAGTTAATTTAATTTGGACAACCATAGTAGTAACTATATATTATCTTGCTGTTAACTATTTATCAATTCTCGACACAGGTGCTGCTGCTGTGTCTGCCATGTGTAAGCTGGTGTAAGCCCACCACAGTGGTCAGCTTCAGCCCAGTGGGATATTCTCCGGGCGTCGCCCCAGGGTTTGCCTACGCCTTCCGTGCCCCTGCCCCTCTGTACTCCCGCTCCGGCGGAGCCTCAGGCCGTTCACTCTCGTCTGGAGCCTTATCCAACCACGTCGACCCCCTCGCCTACGTGCCCACAGTACTCAAGACGCAGTACCACAGCCAGGATGAGCTCGGTCAGTACGCCTTTGGGTATGTGGGAGACGCGTCAACCGCTCACGAGGTCCGTACTTTGGATGGCGCCGTGCGAGGCTCTTATACCTACGTGGATAGCAACGGGAAGCTGCAAACTGCCAGCTATGTGGCAGATCGCAATGGCTTCCGTGTTAAAGCTTCCAACCTTCCACAAGCACCGCTTGCTGCTGCTCCTGTCATAGTCTCACTGCCTGAGCCCGTTAAACCGACCCCTGAGGTGGTAGCTGCCACTGCTGCTCACTTACGGGCTGTTGCGGAAGTCAAGGCGTCCCGAATCAAGCGAGCATCCATCAGTCACCTCCTTTCTTCTGACAAACTGGCACCTGGGAATCGCACCAATCACGTCAAGGAAGCATCCACCCCATTCCCTGTGCTCAATAAAGCCACAGTACCTCCTAGTACCGTGCACTCCGATCATACGAAGGCTAATCAAGAAGACCTGGTGTCTGTTACTCAAGTGTCACTTCCCTCATCACCTGCCTCTCCAGTAGATGGTGCCCCCCGTGCTCTCCCACAGTTCGACTCCCAAGATGAACTGGCCGGAGTCTCAAGACAACACATGGTTCACATCCCCGGTGGCATCACCCGTGGTTCTTACTCCTACATTGACACCAACGGCGAGATGCAGACGGTGTTGTACATGGCTGACGATGAGCACGGCTTCAGAGTACTGGAGAGCAACTTCCTGGAAGATCCCTCTGATACTAACTAGTAGACGGCGGATGTCCTGGGTTTGAGCCGACCCTAGCCAAACTCCACAATTATTCAATATTACGGGTGCCTTTAAGTCATTCTGGCGAACTCTAGAGTTTTCCCAGGATAGCCCTTGAGCCGCTCTGAGAGAGCCCTGAAACACCCTTGAAGATAGTTCTAGAGTTGCCCCAGGGAGAGCCCTTGGCCACCTCCCCGGAAGAGCCCCAGGAGAGCCCTTGAGCAGCCCCAGCGTTACCTCAGGTGGCCCTGGACAAGTCTAGTGGTGAGAGCGGCCGCCATGGTCACCAACCAGGCTCGCGGCAGGTGCTGGATGTAGTCATTATTCTTATTTATTCTAATATAAGTGGCGTGCGAGGCTACAGATGTGACAGTGTAAAGGTGAAGGAAAAATGTATATCACAGTTGTTTGAAGGTGTAAGAACACATGGTTGATCTTCCTACAATATAAAACAAAAGAAGTACAGTTTTCTCTAGTCTAGCCTCACCGAGACTGAAGCTCGCACGTCAAATGTTTCTGTGGCTTTTAAGTTTTGTCTATAACGCAAATTATATTTTTCGCACCGCAATTTTCAATAAATGTTAAGTAAAGTTACTGAGGTATTATTCTCATATATATACGTTGACCCTATGTAATAAACAAATGTTAGTGGTTTAACTTGACGTAGTGTGTATAGCCTGAGTCAATGTTACCCACCTATTGTGTTATTCATACTCATCCTGTGGGCGGTAGTTTATTGTGCACCCCATACTCATCCTGTGAGTGGTAGTCTATTGTGCACCCCATACTCATCCTGTGAGCGGTAGTTTATTGTGCACCCCATACTCATCCTGTGGGCGGTAGTTTATTGTGCACCCCATACTCATCCTGTGGGCGGTAGTTTATTGTGCACCCCATACTCATCCTGTGGGCGGTAGTTTATTGTGCACCCCATACTCATCCTGTGAGCAATAGTTTGCTGTACTCCCCATACATATTCATTCTGCGAGTAATCCAAATCCTAACGTTATGACAGCTAAAAGAAAGAAAATAATATAAATCTTTCCCAAGAAATATTTCCAGACCACCTTCACCCTACTGACCCTCGGGGAGTTCAGACTTTCTTGACTCATAAGAGCCTTCACACTCCAGGCAGGCTCAAGCACAAGCTTCCCAGGTATTCGTGGCCCTTTATCAATATCACCTATGTATATAACGAGTCTATATAATGGAATTGCCTCATATATAATTACTGGGTTGTCCTCATTAACTTCCGTATTTGTTATTGTTAAATAATTGGTGTACATTAAAGAAGGTGAATGTTAATAAATCTAAAGTATATACAGGACGAGAACGTAAATAATAATATTTACATTAGGTGGATAAATCGTCGTAACCACAGATGTGACTGGGGCCAGATTCACAAAGCAGTTACGTAAGCACTTAAGAACCTGTACATCTTTTCTCAATCTTTGGCGGCTATGTTTACAATTATTAAACAGTTAATGAGCTCCGAAGCACCAGAAGGCTGTTTATAACAACAATAACTGTTGATTGGGAGGTTTTCATGCTTGTAATCTGTTCATTAAATGTAACCAAAGTCGCCAAAGATTGAGGAAAGATGTACACGTTTGTAAGTACTTGCATAACTGCTTCGTGAATCTGGGCCCCCAGTGGTTCCCGGGGGGGGGGGGAGGGGGGGGTGTTCAAAGCCTTCCCTCGACGACTTGGGCAACAGTCACGCCACACTCTTGGCTCAGGACGAGCCCTTACATTCCTAACAATGTCATATGACACACTTGGCTCTTCATAGGCCACACACACCGTATAATCTCCCCCCCCCCTGTGTATTTTACTTTACTAAACGCAAAATATATATATATTTCCCGAAACGCAATATCCTTTAAGTGGATTTACGAGAATGTATTAATCACCGAAATTGCACCTTATTGGCATATACTATTTAAATAAATAAAATAAAACACTAAAGTTATGCGCCATTTTATGCTACATTAGTTTAGATTATCGGCAAATACTGTAGGTAAATTTCAGTATTGGATACACACAGAAATCACAATAGTGTGATATATAAAATGGACCAATCCCACAAGGGCAGTGATGAGGGTTCGAACCTACGGACGGGATGTTCCTAGATGCGACTTAATCAGCCTGTGCCCTCATTACGGCCCTTGTGGATTGGTTCAGTATTGGATGTAATGCTCTTGCCAGTGTGCCAAACATTTTACACTTTCACCCAGATAATAATAATATTTATTCACAAGAAGGTACAATGGGTTTGTGGGATTACATAAGATTGGTATTTTGACATTCTTACAAAGCCACTAACAAACATAGCGTTTCGGGCAAATACGTTTGCCCGAAATGTTTCGGGTAGATTCCCATACAAGTTGAACTGCCACAATCGATACACTTAATTGTAGCCAACTTGTGTTCGAGCTGTGACAACACGTCATTATTTAGTCATTTATTATGCACCATACCCATTCCGTAAGTTGTGGAAGACCCCATACCCGTCCCATGGGCGGTAGTGGACCCCATACCCGTCCCATGGGCGGTGGTGGACCCCATACCCGTCCCACGGGCGGTGGTGGACCCCATACCCGTCCCACGGGCGGTGGTGGACCCCATACCCGTCCCACGGGCGTTGGTGGACCCCATACCCGTCCCACGGGCGGTGGTGGACCCCATACCCGTCCCATGGGCGGTGGTGGACCCCATACCCGTCCCATGGGCGGTGGTGGACCCCATACCCGTCCCATGGGCGGTGGTGGACCCCATACCCGTCCCATGGGCGGTGGTGGACCCCATACCCGTCCCATGGGCGGTGGTGGACCCCATACCCGTCCCATGGGCGGTGGTGGACCCCATACCCGTCCCATGGGCGGTGGTGGACCCCATACCCGTCCCATGGGCGGTGGTGGACCCCATACCCGTCCCATGGGCTGTGGTGGACCCCATGCCCAGCCTATTGGCGGCAGTAGAAAGGGTTACAGAGGCACATAATGGGTTCAGAAACTGTCAGTAATTTTCTAAATGACTTTGTTTAGGCTTTTGTTTGATAACTCAAAACTAAAGTCAACATTGTCTTTACTTACTGCAAGCTTGGCAAGGGAATCAACTTGATCCTGTTCTTGAGCTTGATGCGCAACCCAACCTTAGACTAGGCTCGTCCAGGTGGCGGCGGGCCCCACACCAACCCGTCCTCAGACGTAGTTCATTCTGTCAGGCGGTTGACCACAAAGACGCATTCAGGTTTAACATTCTGTTCATTCAAAACATAAATTTTCTCAAATCTAAATTAATATATATATATATATATATATATATATATATATATATATATATATATATATATATATATATATATATATATATATATATATATAAACATATTGTGCATATTTAGGAATTGGTTAGGTTAGGTGTTTAGGTTCTGATGGCGATTATTTGTATTTGTAGTACGTGGGTGAAGCATTTACAGCGTTGTGGTTCGAACAAAAGTCGTCAGCAGAGCGCTTGTGCGAGAAGTATTCGAACGTCATCGTTGTGAGTCGTTTGTAAACTTTTTTTTTCTTATCATGGGGGTAGAAATAGCCTAGGCTACTCTATTCCTTTGAGATGTATTTTTTTCTTGTCTCAATAAACATACTTGAACTGTTTTTCATTCGTAAATAGGGACCAGTTACTGGCCGCCAGCTGGGGCACCAAGGCTATCTCGCAACTGTCCGATAAGATTATAGATTTGGTTAACAGCCTATTGGCTGTCTAGCTCTTTTTCCCTATCAGGATGACTTTTACAATAATGTTTCATTACCATTAAAAACGTGCAACGTACAAAATGTTAGATATAAATACATAACTATAAGGCGTTTACCTTCATGTGTTATTTCCACAGTGCATGACTTTTCAGTTGTTCAGGTAGTGACCGACATAATAATGGTCCAGCGTCTCCAGAACATTTCCTGCCTCACAGCACCAGCTGACACATCACCTGTGACCTGGTCAGGGACGTATCTTCTACCCGTCCAAGACACGATGCTATGGTAAAATAATGTCAAAACAACGTTAATAAGTAATTATTTTCATTTCCATTTTCTGCTACAGACACGTTAAGGACGTGAGGAGTATCGTGGGAGATCACTGTTAGGACTATGAGCTCTTCGTATCCACTTACTAGCTCTGTACCTCTTACCGCCGCCATGACGGCATAGTGGGAATTTACTAAACAGTTTACGAGCTCTGAAACGCTACGAGCTGCTCTATAATAATAACCTTGGGTTGAGGACGACCTTATAACGCTTCGGAGCGCGTAAACTGTTTAATAAATACCGACTCTGCCGCCATGATGGAGATAAGAGGTCCAGCTGTCTGGAGGGGTCAGTGCTGTGGGTGCTGGCCAGGTAGTCTGGAGGACGTAATGGTAGCCTCACCTTTGGGTCATGAGTTACCTCATGTAGGACTATTTTCCTCATGCGAGGGCATAGTATTATGGATAGCCAGTAAAATCATACAACGGTGTTTATATACTGTATTTTAAACTTCAGTGTGTATAAATAAAACCACTCAGTCATTTTATAACATTTTTAAACCAAAGAAACATTCATGCAATCACCAGGGCCAATACTGGCAGTACCTGAGCACCTGGTGCCTCTGTCAGCACTCACCACAGCGGCTGATGGACTCTACCACCCTCATCACCAACAAACATCACTTTACAACCCATTCAATCCTGCGAGTGACATGCAGCCGACCCAACTGACCTAGACGGTAGGGTGATCCTGTAGATTTTGACGGGTAGATGGGCTTCGTTGTAGAGGAAGAGGGCGGTGTCGGTGTCGAGGGTGGCCTGGAAGACGAGGGAGTAGACCAGGCCCTGCTGCCTCACCTCCTCCAGGAACACCGCCAGGGTCTCCTGGCTGCGGCGGGTGCAGGCTATGAATGCCTCGCGCTCCCTCCTCCCTGGTCCTTCTGTTTGGTCCCTTTCTAGTTTTTCATTTTTGTCGTTTGTTGCACCTCCGTCTTCGTCGTTATTTTTGCCTCCTGTTGGCTCTTCCTTATTCATCTTTGCTTCATCTTCCTCCGTTGGATTTTGCTGCGAATAGACTTCAAGTCGTGCCTTCTGCTTCTGGTCGTTTTTCGAACTGATGTCTACTGTCTCAAAGTTTGGTGGTTTTCCTTCACGTTGTCCTGACGCGCTGCCGTCCAGGATGGACCTGGCAAATTATGTGGTTTTAATAGACCAAATAACAGTTCGCAATATATGAATATTCTGCACCCAAGATTATAAGTTCCTGCTCCGCCTGATGCCTCCTGCCCCCCCCCCTCCCCCCTCTCTCTCTCTCAACCCTTCACAAAGTTGAGCCAGAATGCTATAGCGAAATTTATCATAGTGGTCGCTATGACAACGTGTCTTGTGCCATTATTTAATTTAGGCCAACCACCCATGTTGGGAACATATCCAACATCAAATATTGTGAAAACTAAATGTTGCTTGCCCCAGGCGTCTGGCCTACAGCTTAATGATTGATTGATGAAGATTTAAGCCACCGAAGAGGTGGCACAGGCATGAATAGCCCGTAATCCCACTTAAGCTGTTGTTTTAGATTTACCTGCTCAGAACAAAATGTCCATGTAGCACGGGCTATGGTGAGCCCGTAACCGAGTTCGGTTATTCGCGATAACCTTGTTACTCTGATATTTCCTCCTTTTTCCCTATTTCTTTTTCACTTCTGTTTTAGTCTTGTTTTAATAACATTATCTTGGTGACGGATGTAGGTGTAGAATGTTCACTAGTGAGTCCCATTGTTGAACGGTTTTTCTAATCATTGTAGTCACTATGGAATGTGCATCTAATGCAGCTGCTGTCGTTGGATTAATGTTGAGTTTGATGCGCAGGGGTTCACATTCCAGTAAGTAGTGCAATAGTGGCGCCTCTGCTTCTGTTCCAAAGATATGACACTCTTTTTAACTATTGGGTTTATTACCTCCCAGTAGCACTTGTAACCAAGTCTGAGTCTGTGTATGGCTACTGCAATGTCTCTGGATATCTTTTTGCCAGGCTTGAAATATGAGTAACCAATGGCTTGTTCGTACCATATCGCAGTGGATATTCCATCCGCTACTTTGGCGACTTTTGATAGTTGGGAGTATTTTCTTCGTGATTTGCTCCTTAATCTGTGAAAAACTTGGAGGTATTTGAACCTGTACAACAGATAGAGCAGTGGCAGTTTTTGCTAGTGTGTCTGCCTTTTCATTACCATCTATGCCAGTGTGACTTGGTATCCAATTTACGGTGATTGACAGCCCTAGATTATGGGCTTCTTTTCCTACATGTTGGATTTCTGTGAGGAGTTGTATATTATCTCTGTGCTGGCTGGATAACACTGCCTGGAGCGAAGATTTAGAGTCGGTATGAATGATGACATGTAAATTATTCTCAATTTTATAGTTTATAGCCTCCTTCAGGGCATATAATTCTGTCTGCAATGTTGATCACCCACTATTCATGCTCCAGTAAGCTTCATGATTGTTAGTGTAAACTGCTGCCCCAGCAGAACCTCTTTATCAACTGATCCGTCTGTGAAGATGCGAGTCGTTGTCGGTCTTGAGATGGTCTCCATTTGTCGTTTTATGACTGCTTTGAGCCTCTGCGAGTCACATGCTGAGTTTTTAACTGGTCCCATTTAAGAGACATTTTATTATATACTAGCAGGGGTACCTGACTGTGCCCGGGTTTCTCCCCCAGCAACTCCCCGCTCTGTCCCACACGTCTCCCACTCACCACCTTCCATCCTAACATTTAATGATAGATAAATCTTAGCGAGTATGGAATTGGTTTATTTAGCGAGCTTTGAAATTAGTGCAATTTACCATTTGGTGGAAAGTTTACCATAGGGCTCAACCATGACCATCCCATGTACTGCCCGGTACCAAGAGCATTTCAGTTACAGCCCCACTCCTGTGCCAGGTAAGTCCACTACGGGCTCACCATAGCCCGTGCTAATTTGGATCTTCGTATTCCGAGTAGCTGAATCTAAAACAACAACCAGAGCATTTATCCTGCAAAGTTTCGTTAGGATATTCCCAGGCGTCTGGCTGCCTACTTTGAACACATATTCTCTTTTATAAGTATACACACAAATAAATAAATCTATATATACTACCTGATGAGGGTGACCAGGGAAGGGATGAGGTGTCGGGCATACACCACGTCAGCGGCCAGGACAACATCGACGGGCGGTAGGGGCGGCGGGCGGCGCCAGTCAACCTGCAGGACGTCCACCTTCGTCAGCACGCATGCGCCACTCACCTCCACCACCTGCAACAGTACCAACGCTGTAGACCCTCTAACCATGCGTTCTGGCGGAGCAGTATGGTCTCATACTAAATTTATAATCTTCGTGCATTTATTGGCCAACATCAGGTAATAGGATGACCAAACCACGCACCAGAAGATAAGGAGATGACGTATCGGTCCGTCCTGGACCATTATCAAGTCGATTGAGATAATGGTCCAGGACGGACCGAAACGTCGTCGTCTCCTCATCTTGTGGTGTGTGGTTTGGTCATATCTTCAACCACGTCATTGTTACTCATCGTCTGCACCAGGTGATAGCCTATCTACGGTCACCTATTGCAATGGTATTTTCAACTATATGCGTCGACGTAAAGAATATCGATAAACTCTAATTTAGAATAATGAATCCAGAAATGTGTGTGCAGTAGGAGGCTGGTTTGTGACTCACAGCAGCAGGAGGAGACGAGCCCTGGGGAGCAGGTGTTGGCCAGGCCACCACCTCTCCTGCCTCCACCTCTCCCCTCACCAACTCCTCACTCGCCTCCCGCTGGAACTTCTCCAGTTCTTCTCTCTGGGGAGAAGCGAGGAATTAGTCATGCAACGGAGTAAAGGTAATGTTCCTCCTGGCGGAGCACAACAACATAATTTACCGGGTGCCAAGCCCTAACTGTTCGTCCTTGTTCACCCAGCAGTAATTGGAAACCTAGTTATAAACCTACAGGCGGGTTGTGTTCCAGGGAAACTAATAGGATAAAGCTATATGTCTGCTAACAACAGGGACAATCTGTGCCAGCAGTTGGTTCGTAAACTTAAACTTAGGAATACAGTTTACAAGGAGATAGGGCTACACGTCAATAAAAATGCTCACATTATTGTTTATTTGAAGTAGTAGTAGCAGGACACCTTGGTTGTTTTGTACCCCCCATTCATGGCACAGTTCTACTTCACTGATTGCTTTGAAATTTGACACAACGTTGTATTCGCATACGAGCATGTTTTTAAATACCTACTATAAAGATGTCACGTCTGTAACAGGTAAAAACATTTTTTTGTAACTGTTTTTCATGTGAGGGGAATCTTTGAAACCTCTTTACCGATTGCTTTGAAATTTTGACAACGTTGCATTCTAATACGTGCGTGTTTTTATATACCTACTATATACATGTCACACCTGTAACAGGTAAAAACATGCTTTTTTTTTAAACAGCGCCATCTGTTGCACGTAAACGCAATACACGCTATTGTAAATATGTTACGATTCCATTGATAAATTGAATTTTCATAGATTTAGATTTATTTTCATTTTTATTTAATTATTTTGTGTGACATTGCATTGGATTTGAGCCGTGTTGTTTACCATACCGTTTATTTCGTGAGTATAGTTTATTTTTTTATTGTTTTTTCCATTTCGTTTTTTAACTGTTCTTATTTTTTAGTGATGGGAACATCGGATCATTTGATGTTCCCATTTTTCTGATGGGAACATCAAATCAGTTGGGAACGCATCGGACGAGGGAGTGGGGAATGGCGGGGAGGACGAGAGTGGGGAAGGGGTAATGGTGAGGAGGACGAAGGGACAGGGGAGTGGGGGATGGTGGGGAGGACGAGGGGACGGGGGAGGGGGGATGGCAAGGTGGACGGGGAAACAGGGGAAGGATGCTGTAGCTCAGCAACGCACATGCATTGCCGAGCCACAGGAACGCGTGGCCGGGTACAGCTATAGTTATTTATAAAATCCTTATTGGACAAAGTACGAAATAAATGAGCTGTGTTGAACTAGACACCAACAGAGCTCATCAAATGGACGGGGACCAAGTTCACTCATTTGCTATTTTAGATATGAAAACAAAATATCGATCTCGATTATTTGACCAAGAAATAAAAATCTAATTCATCGATCACTACGATTACGCTAACGTTTTGAAGACCACAAATATCACTGATTAAACTTAGGTTTTGTAAATAAAATTATTTATGTGCTATACGTATTTTTCCTCGTTGTTATCCTAGCTACATTCGATTTTTGTATATAAGAAAAAATATTTGTATACATGCCATTTTAATTGCTTAAAAATTGAACAAATTATTTAATCATGACTACGGTTTCAATATAAAGGAAATCATTTCCTTTTGGCATTATTATATTTATTTACAATAATGTAGATGGTAGCACGATCATAATTTTATAGTTTTTAAAAAGGACGACTGGCTACCATCTGCTGGAAGCCTCGTCTTATACTGTCTTAGTAATTTTTCTGGAATATAATTCTCCAAGCTGTTTACAAGATTCCCAATTACTGAAAGATAAACGAGGGTGAACAGTTATTGCCAGGTTCGACCCCCGGGAAGCACTACTGTGACATTATTCACTACTGTTGTTGATCATCGTCGCCCCTAACTCAACAGCAGCAGTTAATGGTGTCACAGTAGTGTTCCAGGGAGTCGAACCTGGCCAATATGGCACTAAGCACTTGTACACTGTTGAGCGTGTTACCGCTTCACAGCATGGACTAAAAACTCTAATTATAAAGTAGCTGTTGTGTGTAATATAAACATTACATGTTTATATTATGTAATGTTTGCAATATAAACATGACATGTGTATGCCGTAGCTACGTCCCCTGTATTCACCTTTCGGCCCGCCACTTTCAAACAAACTTTTTTTTCACACACACAAGAAGCAGCCTGTAACAGCTGTCCAATTCCCAGGTACCTATTTACTGCTAGGTGAACAAGGACATCGGGTGAAAGAAACTCTGCCCATTTGTTTCCGCTATCACCAGGGATCGATCCCCGGTCCCTAGGATTACGAATCCTGAGCGCTGTCCACTCAGCTACCACGCCCCCCATCATCATGGAGTCTGTGCATCATTGCTATTTACTATGAGTTTGTAGTAGTAATATGACACGTGATCTAGAAAATTACATGAATTGTGTGTGTTCTAGAGGCACCAGTATAGACGCTACACATGGATGTTACTGCGGGATTACCTTTGGTGGTGCGGTGACCAGATTGAGCGCCAGGTTGTGGTGGAGAAGAGTGAGGACGTGATGGTGACAGTCGGTGAGGAGGTAACTGGTGGGGGGCTGGAGACCCTCCTGAAGGGGGGTAGTGAGGATGACGCAGGCGGTAAAGCCCACACCAGCGCCCAGCTCCAGCACCCGCCGGCCAGCCATGATGGCAGGGTTGTCGGTCGCCCACTCGGCCAGGACAGCTGCGCCACACCAGGTGGTGAGTCCTGTGGTGTTGTGGGCGATGCCGCCGGCACTCTCCAGCAGCGTCACCCCTGCCCGACCCACCCCACCTCCGCCCCATCCAACATACGTCTTGTAAAACACCTCTGGATCACACTCCAGGCACGACATGGCGTCGTCGGAAAACTCTGCAGGGATGGTCCATCCTCGAGCGAGCCATTGGTCTCTGAGCCACTGCAGCACCTGGCGGGCATGCTTGTGGCTCCTTGGCACCGCCGCTACCAGTGGGTGCCGCACGCTGGTCTCCAGCAGGCGAGACACCAGCTGATGGGGAGCCTCAGGGGTGTCGCTGAGGGCGTCGATGGCGGCGGCGACGTGTCCCCAGATACTGCGAGAAGTGGGCACCGCCGCCAGGTGTGCCCGGGCAAGCAGTTCACACATGTCCACTCACTGCATATTTTACTATATACACCGCAATGCTTATTTCACTTTACGTTGTACCTAAATTTTCCATCATGCTTGGAACGGGCGTGATGTCTGGGGTACCTGAGGTCGCTGACCTGCAGATCAGACAACTGCTCCGTGACCTCCTGTGGGTACCGGACTATACATCAACTGGTTACCGGATGCCGCAGTTACCACTTGTTTGTCAGGTCACACTGCTCGCGGCACTTCAACTTAAATAACATAAAGATAAAACATATCTTATATATAACAAAATAATAATGTTGTGAAGATCTAAACATGTATCTGTGAAAATATCATTGCCTTATCTTATATAAATAAAAATGGAAATGTTCGTTTGTTCAAAATCGCTAATCTCCGAAAGTTCAACGATTGCTTTGAAATTTCAACACAACGTTGCATTCAAATAGGCGCGTGTTTGTATATACCTACTATATACATGCCTCACCTGTGACAAGGAAAAAAATGTTAAAAAAAAAAAGAACCAGCGTCATCAGTTGCACGTAGGAGCAACACACGCTACACTAAATATGTTACGATTCCACTTCAATGTTTCTGATTTCATTGATAAATTGAATTTTCATAAATATCGATTTATTTTCATTTAATTTACTTATTTTGTGACATTGCATTGGAATTGAGCTGTGTTGTTTACCATACCGTTCATTTCGTTAGTATAGGTAACTTTATTTTTTTTATTTCGTTTTTTTAACTGGTTTTCTTATATTTCGATAGAATGATCGCATAAACTTAAATGTAAATACATACAACATTCATATGCTATTCGAACAGCCCAGCACTCCAGTGCATTGTGTTTACATTCCAGTTTATGCGATCATTCTATCGACTTCAGAGGGGCTAAATGTATTGTTAAAAGTAAGGGTTTTGTTGAACGAAATGTGATGGAGTCTGTCTGCTCCGATCAAACACTAACAACAGCCTTAATGTGAGCCCTGGTATGTATAAGTTGGATCCCCATATAAGCCTCAATATAGGCTAAGTGGGGGGGACTCACTCATGCAGCAGTGTCAGGTGGGGGACTCACGTGTGCAGCAGTGTCAGGCGGGGGACTCACGTGTGCAGCAGTGTCAGGTGGGGGACTCACGTGTGCAGCAGTGTCAGGCGGGGGACTCACGTGTGCAGCAGTGTCAGGTGGGGGGGACCTATGCAGTGGTGTCAGATGGGTGACCCGCATGCGGTATGGTGTCAGGTGGAGGACTCACCCATGCAGTGGTGTCAGGAGGCGAGGGACTCGCCCATCCAGTAGTGTCGACGGTGGCAGTGCAACTGGGTGCTACAAAAGCAGTGCCACCTGCTACTTGGCACCTTCCGTGCGCTAGAATATCACCTCCTCCCTCCCTCCCCCACCTGCATTGAGTTACAGGGCGCCACTAGAGAGCGGTACTCTGCCCGGGTACCTGTACCTCTGGCCCAGTACCACAAGCACTACACCAGCTATGCCTCCTAGTGGGTGTGCCAGAATGTACTAATTAACAGAACATGTAATAACCCATTATACCTTATTGCACATTTATAAAATATAAATTACCTTACCTTACCTTTTAGCAGTAAATAGGTACCTGGGAGTTAAGACAGCTGCTACGGGCTGCTTCCTGGGGGTGGGGAGACAAAAGGGAGGCCTGGTCGAGGACCGGGCCGCGGAGACGCTAAGCCCGGTGGAGGACTCACCCATGCAGTGGTGTCAGGAGGCGAGGGACTCGCCCATCCAGTAGTGTCGACGGTGGCAGTGCAACTGGGTGCTACAAAAGCAGTGCCACCTGCTACTTGGCACCTTCCGTGCGCTAGAATATCACCTCCTCCCTCCCTCCCCCACCTGCATTGAGTTACAGGGCGCCACTAGAGAGCGGTACTCTGCCCGGGTACCTGTACCTCTGGCCCAGTACCACAAGCACTACACCAGCTATGCCTCCTAGTGGGTGTGCCAGAATGTACTAATTAACAGAACATGTAATAACCCATTATACCTTATTGCACATTTATAAAATATAAATTACCTTACCTTACCTTTTAGCAGTAAATAGGTACCTGGGAGTTAAGACAGCTGCTACGGGCTGCTTCCTGGGGGTGGGGAGACAAAAGGGAGGCCTGGTCGAGGACCGGGCCGCGGAGACGCTAAGCCCCGAAATTATCTCAAGATAACCTCAATTTTGAACACACATTATATGTGCGCGCGGTGTCAATAATTTTGATGCCTTATCGTGTATTGCATGTTCTGTATTTCCTCCGAAATATCTCTTGCTCTGAAAAAAAAGGGGGAGAGAGTACCGAGCAGTACTGTACTCAAGGCAGGACAGCATAAGTGAATTGACCAGCATGACCATTGTGGTAGGATCCCTGAATCAGAGTTGTTATAATCCATCCTATCATGTTCCTGACTGACGCTGTATTTGCTGGGTCATGTTCACCAAATGACACATTTCAGTCATTCTGCCGTTTAACGTGAATTTCAGATGGATCATGCCGTAAAGACAGACCTTTTATTTCATTTTATATTATAGATATGATTTACAGCTTTTGATATATTATATATACACATACATAATGCTATGGTTTGAAGCGTGTGTATGTCAATTTTTACAAACATTTAAGTGAAACTATCAGTACTGTATTTACACGCTGGAAATTTATATAAATTACACTTTTCCTATATTTTACTAATCTAAAATCCTCTATATATTTGGGGGATGTATCGGAAGGGTCTTTATACATATCCTGGTTTCATTTATACAAATAAATGACATTACAAAACTTAATGTGCATTTAACATTTTATTACATAAATTTCATAGTAAGCTTGGCAGTATACATTCGCGCACTTGCTGCCTTCCTCTACCCGCCAAACACCATTTCCTACAACAATTTGCGCTGTATTCGTCATGTCCATGTTTACTACCCTAGTTGTACTATTTCCTGCAAGTTCTGGTGTAGCACAATGTTTTAATCTGATGTATAAGTGTGCGCATACTGGCATAGATTTTTCGTCTTTTAGAGCAATATTGTTGACCAGTTGAAAAAATTAGAAGGTCCCAGTAGGATAGTCTGGTTCATACTAGACTCGATCGAGAATTCTGGCCTGGACAGAATTGGCTGGACGTGTTACCTGCCGCCTCATGCCTCTGTCCACCTAGCAGTCAATAGGTACCCAGAGTCAGCTTGTGTGGGGTTGCAATCCTGGGGATGGCTAGTAATTCAACCGGGGTGGGGGGAAGAAGAGCCTTGATATAAGCCTAACATGTACTAACTTGCTGCCTGTCCCGACAAGGAATCATAATTAAATTTTTTGTCCTAGAATAAATTCTTATAATAAAGTTCAGCATATTACAGGCTTTGAGGTTAAAAGATTTAGACAGCCATATTCTGCTTAGGAAACTATTTATACACATAATAAAGTACTTGATTTTGTAGTTCCTCCTCAACACAATCATTTGTTATAGTTAACCTGTATTATTGTACCTTGGGAACACTCCTGAATAGCATACTTAATACAATTTTCTTTATGAAAGTGGAAAGCTGTATATCATAAATTAGATTTTTCCACCAGAGACACTCTTTGGGAAGTTTGTAAATACTTGTGGTCTGGTATTACTACTTGTGCCATTTTCTCAAGTATTAAATCACATTGGTAGATGTAGACAGGAAAATTACTAGTCAACACCAGTAGCTTTCACATTTATTTATATAAATTTACATTCTCACTGGAATTCTGTACAACGACTCCTTTTTCAGGAATACAAGATAAAGTGTTTTGCCATAGTTTAAGACTTCACCAGTGCACTTCTTTGCCACAAACATTATTGGACCATTTAAAAGCACTGTACATAAATTAATTTAAGGGGGACTTTATCATCATAAAACTTAGCTTCCCTGAGTTGCCAACTGTTCAGCCTTCTCCAGAACATCTTGAATGTCACCCTGCATGTAGAAAGCAGCTTCTGGCAGATAGTCGTACTTTCCAGCCAAGATCTCCTTGAAACTCTGAAAAAAACAAAGGGAGAAAGTATGAAACTTCAGATAGTATACAATGTATTATTACCTCAAACTAACCTTGAAACTAATTGTACATTATATACCCAAGTAATCAAAAAGCACCACAAAGTGTACATCTTCTGGGACAAAGTAATTCACAGTAAAATTCAGGTGTCTGCCGTGAAGTTAATCGTGTAGGGCCCCATATATAACCTAGCTAGACATTGCCCACTTTGTTACTGACAAGTATGGTCAAGGGAATAGGTTGAAATTGAAACAAAAGGGAAAATCAAGGGAAAAAGTTGAAATTACCCAATTTAGTATTCTTAATAAATAACCATCTACCCAAGGATTACAGCTGCATTATGAATGATTGTAGAAATTTATATAGAATTCATGAATAGAAATGCCAACCATTTGTAGAAGGCAAGCAGACTACTAGAAGCCTCTAACAAATGATTCCACAGATGACAGCCACTCTTATTTGCACCGTTTAGATTCCTAAATTTCCAATTAAATGTTCAAAGTTGCTAGCTATGAAGAACGTGCATTACCAACATTGGTGGTAGAAAATGTCATCAGTTAAGGTGATCACAATTTTGATTCATCAGTTTGGTGATGGAGATGTTAATGTGCAAGGAACTGCTAGCAAGACAATCAACTTTTGACAGCAACGAGGCAAGTCAGCAATAGCCAACATTGGCCCAAGTGGTATATACACTGACCCATATTATTGCATAATTGAAGAAATCATTCCAAGAATTATTTCAACAGATCACAATGAGATGTCTGAATTTCCATTATTGTCTGGGCAGAAGCATCCCCTGAAGTTTTTCTGCTTCCCACGTGAACACAGGACATTCAACAAGTCAACTTTAATACCTGTACATCAACGTTTGCATACCAATATTCAGAACATTAGAAATAATTTCCCATGGTAAATGACTTAAGACCAGGAACTAATGAAGGGAGAAACAGGAATTCTTACTATCCTCAATTTACGAAAACGTCCAGTGGAGCAATGAATGGTTTGTGTTGGAATACCAGTATAAAAACACCAGGATAAGAACCTGTACTTTCAGAGTACAAAAAAGGCAATTATCAGTTTTAGACATGTAATCAGACTAGATACAGTAGATAGATTTTACAGTAACTAAGTAATCATCAAAAGAAGGCACCAAACCGGGAAGGCAATGTAGCACCAAATGTGCAGAATAATCAGAGGGCACTAAATATCACCAAGGATGCCAATACAACAGTAACTAAGAACACTGGTACTCAAGTTACAGTACTAAGAATTCAAAGCAAAACAATATTACAGCTGAATTATATTACTGTATTCTACTTAGGTCCCAAGATCAAGACTATTTCAACAGGCCCCTGGTACAGTCTGACTGTACCAGAGTGCAGTGCACTGTTTAGTTGGTATTTGCCAAGAGAAACCAAGCAAGTTACAATTGAAATTATTACACACGTACTGCACTTAGTGAATCAGTCATGCTACAGTCTATTTCTACGCTTGAAATTCATTAATAGCTTTATTAAATTTTAAAGCATCTATCTAAACTACAGTCTTCCCAATTATCCGAACTAGCATATCTACATTAAATTTTTTTCCTTTCTACTTTGTGCCACATTTAAATTTTCTAATAGCAAATGACTATGAAAAAATATTTTAACCATGTTTAATGGCTTTACAACAATAGCACTGCAATAATGTCAGGCCCATCTAGGTAATACTTAAATTCAGAGCCATATCAAAAACCATTCGTATCATTTTACAATACTTTATAGTTAAATTTTGCCAAGATACATCTAGATTTTTTTTTTTTTTAAAGATTTTACAGAACACGCCAAGAACTCTCATATAAACTAACAAATGTGTACCGACAGCTACCTCATAGCAAAATCAATGTTCATGTGGTTGTTATACAACACCTTCAAAGAAAAATGTACAAACTCCATTGAACCATGTAAATAAAAACCTTAACATGACATGCTTATGCCATGTTTGAACATAGCATAACAACAAAAATTAATAATTCCTAAAATTAAGGAAACCTGTCAATCTCAGGGAATTGGCACTAAATTAACAGCCTAGCAATTTACCCGAATTATACATAATTTTCCTGTATAAAGATTTCAGGTCAACATTTTTGAGTCGACTCATACACTCGCCAACTGTCGAAGTGCAGATCAATCTAGAACCACTGAATTCATTTTGATAATCGAGAAACAATGCAGACAGTTTTGGTACAAGTTTGCAATAATACAAACCAAAATCATATTTTATAAACTGCTTTCCTATAGCCATGTTGTACTATAATATTATAATACACTATTTGTATGTGGCTGGCAGCCCAATACCTCCAACAATCCAAATGATCCATGTTCTCATTACATATTTTTACACATGCACAAATGTGTACTAACATTAATTAATGTGATGGTAAATAGACAAATTTCTTTCAATCACAATTCCATCCTAATCCAGACCAGGATTACCAAGGTTCTGGTTGTTAGTCATGAAGTAATTACCAAAAGATGCCAATGCTATTAAGTTGGCTCTAACTGCAGTGAACATTTGAAGATCAGCAAGTTCTTTAAACCAAACATTCACATGCTGAACCTTTCAAAGCAAGCAGAGACTGACGAGTACAGCAATTTAAGAAGACTTGGTATCGAAGGAAAAGATTGAAGTGGTAATGTAACGAGAAGATAAAAGCTGAAGTCTATTTACAACAGTAAGTAATGCTAATAACAGAACTTTTAGGAAGTCCAGTATATGGCAGACCCATCCAGGAAGAGCAACACTTCACACTTCGTGGTAGGACATGAGCAACTTTCCCTATTTTGAAGCAATGCTGCTGGTTAAATTCAGTTATTCTGCTACTAGTTTACCACTACTAGAGTTCCCCACCATAAAAGGGCCATCTAAATTTTTACCATTTCAGTTAGATAACTGATAATTTATACAAATCAGTCTAGAGGTGAAAAGTTTTTCTTATGGAAAAATTTAGTTTTGAAGTTTATCCTTTATACTGCCCCTGAGACATGTTTTCCAGCCCATGGACCAAGGACATTTTTAATTCTTTACTCTGCAGACCGAATTTGTTGCCGAATGCTAAAAACCCAAGATACAGTACTTGTTTGAATTCTTTAGAGGCAAAAACATTTGGCATGCCATTAGGAAACATCCTTCAATTTGCTAAGATGCATCTTTTCCCCAACAGAAGGAAGGGTGTGGTGATTTACAAGCGGTTGTCTTCGTGGCAATCAAGCACCGTTAGGAAGAATTATGTGATGCACTTGGTGCTAAGGGAAGACCAGCATAAAGCACAAACATTCATAGAACTACACTGAAAAGAATGGCAAATGTCAATAGTTGGCCACCCAAACCAGGAAGCAATGAAAACATCAATACATCACTTTAATGTGACTTCATTGTGTATTTGAAGATGTGTTGGAGGTAGAACTCCCAGACCACAGCCAGAGTCTATGGGGGTAATGTGTGAAACCCCTGATTGAGTTTCAGTAGAAACCTCAGAACCCATATCTACTTATTGAATAACCAACACTGAAATGACTGTACTGTATAATACTTTATGTACTGTATATAAAAAATGCATAAATTTGAACAAGCTTTGGAAAGAATACACAATATACAGAGTACTGTGTTATGCATGCAGTACAGAACCTTGTACAAATAAGAACGGGAAAGGAATGGGGAATCTATCACAAGATGACTAGCAAAGAAAACACCAGACAATGTACCAAAGTGAATTTAGGAATTAGGTAGATAAATATCTGGGGTCAATATCCCACGTAGGTTCAATGGGAGTACCAAGCATGTACCAGTACCAAATCCATATTAAAAGGATATCGCCAGCATATGCCAGGTTGGCCAACAAAAACTTCCTTTAGAAATCTGTACGAGGAATCGATAAGAATTTATATCAGTGTCAGACCAATTCTAGAGAAGTGGCTCTAGAATAGTCCATAGCGAGTCAAAGTTTTAAATTCTGAGGTATACTAGACCAAGAAGTACTAGTTACAAGGATAGGCTACAGAAATTTAACCTCATACTAACTACCAAGTGTAATTAGTAGAGTTTTCACACATACAAAATTGCCAGGAGGAATTGTTAGGTTACACAAGGACAGACAGGTGGAAATGGTATCCAAATTTGCTACAGACAATGAATTTTCAATGTCAGTGTTTAGATGTACACTACAAATTGAATGCACTTAGTGGTGGTGGTGGTGGCAGACCACATCTACAGTTTCAAATGTAGATAAGTGTTGAAAAGACTTGGGAACCTATACACCATTTACTTGACAGTAAACAGGCGAGACCAATGAGCCAAACAATCCCTGCAAACTATTAGGCGAGTATAGAATATGCATCCATCATTTTACTTTTATTACTATGCATGGTTTACAACTTCCAAGGATTAAGATGCTTCCCTTGAAAACTGATATTACTACTAATAGCCATATAAAATAGTTATTTATTTACCAAACAAAACTAAAATCCCATGCCAGCTTCTGCATACATATTCTAAGCACTTAATTGAGCCAGTAATAAATCTACTTGACCCATATTCCATACTCTAGAAGAGCTCTTGACAAGCAAAGCACACCAGTACGAGAGGAGGTACATTTCTAATGCCACCTCCAAAATTAATCTTATCTACTTTCTACCATAACTGCCTGAACACTTAAACACAGAGATAAGCAAATTTAAGAATTGTAAAAAGACTAAAATCAAACACTGATAATGAAAGTTAATTCTGTAGCAAATATAATAAACATGTTATAGAACTATGATTTTAAAGGATTTACTTACGGCAATGGTCTTCTCCAATGAGACAAACTTTCCAGAATAACCTGTGAATACTTCTGCCACCTGGAAGGGCTGGGACAGGAACTTCTGAATCTTGCGGGCACGTGCAACAGTAAGCTTATCCTCTTCTGACAACTCATCCATACCCAAAATAGCAATGATATCCTGCAGTGATTTATGATCCTGGAAGAAAATACCAAACATTAGCTTATGCAATATCAATATTTTTAAATGATAATACTAACATTCCAGAACACAATGCATGCAGATTCAATAAAAACCCACCTGAAGAATCTTTTGCACAGCTCGGGCAACATTGTAGTGTTCTGCGCCAATGATATTAGGGTCCATGATACGAGAGATAGAATCTAGGGGATCCACAGCAGGGTAGATTCCCAACTCTGCAATACCACGAGACAGCACAGTAGTAGCATCCAAGTGAGCAAAAGTAGTGGCAGGAGCTGGATCAGTCAAGTCATCAGCAGGTACATAAATAGCTTGTACAGATGTGATGGATCCCTTCTTGGTAGTTGTAATTCTTTCCTGCATAGTACCCATGTCAGTGGCTAGAGTGGGCTGGTAACCTACAGCAGATGGGATACGCCCAAGAAGAGCAGACACTTCAGAACCTGCCTGAGTGAAACGGAAAATGTTGTCAATGAAGAGCAGCACATCCTGTCCCTCTTGATCACGGAAGTATTCTGCTACAGTCAGGCCAGTCAGAGCAACACGGGCACGGGCACCTGGGGGCTCATTCATCTGACCATACACCAAAGATACCTTAGAGGTGTCGTCCTTCAAGGAAATCACACCAGACTCAATCATTTCATGATAGAGATCATTGCCTTCACGGGTGCGTTCGCCTACACCAGCAAATACAGAGTAACCACCATGAGCCTTGGCAACATTGTTAATCAGTTCCATGATGAGTACAGTCTTGCCAACACCAGCACCACCAAACAGACCTGGAATAAATATATATTTACCAATAATGAAGAAAAATATATATATATTTCAATACCTGGAATATATAGAGTATCAAATAATAGAGAGTACTGTACCTCAACTGCGCATAAACCAAATACTTACCAATCTTACCACCCTTTGAGTATGGGGCAAGCAGGTCTACCACCTTAATGCCAGTTACAAGAATCTCTTGTTCAACAGACATGTCAACGAAGTCAGGAGCTTCAGCATGAATAGTAGAGTAAAACTCGGTGGGAACTGGACCACGCTCATCAATGGGCTCACCTGGAGTAAACAAGAACAAACCATTAGCTATAGAGACCAACTATGGATACACACACACACACACACTAAAGGAATTTCACTGCAACAGTATTATCAAATAGGGCAATTATCATGAAAATGCAACAAGTGCAGCATGGTTACACTTTTGAAGGGATATGAGGACAGATGTATTATAAAGATTTGAGTGAAAGAACTATGCATAAATGCTTTGACAATTGGAGATTTAATGCCGATTTACAAAAAACAAGGCCATTGCTCTACCAACTAGTCCAAAATAGAATTAGCAACTCGACAGGCAATTCAGCAAAGGTTATTTAATGGGTGTTTTTTGTTAATATTGAAACCAAAGAGGCTTAATTTTAAGAACCCAGTGCTGTACCTTTAGGTGTACCAATGAAAAGGCCAGTCAAAAACTAGTCTTAATGAATAATAAAGACTATCAAGTGGTTCATCAACACTTTCGTAAGGCGGCGATGTGTGCTGCGCCCATAAATAACTTTACAGATGCGTGGTATGGATGCATAGGTGCATTCAAAATTAAAATGGTTAAAATTCAAGTTTTTATCTGATCTTTATGGGACTGGTTTTAAAATGTACCCAACATCTTCCGATTCTATTGCAAACCGAGGTGAAAATTAAGGCGAGAAACTTTAAAAGCGTAAATACACTTGTGAGTGGATGTTGCGGGTGTGCCAATGGGTGCTCGCTCACGGGTAACGCTTGGCCGACTTTTGGTTTTGCTGCAGTTGGGGCACGCCGGGCTTTTGGACCTTAAGACAGTAAGCATATACCCCTGTAGGGAATTCTATTGCAAACATTTTGATACCAAAATGAACGACATACAACAAAAATTGAGGTGATAAAACAGAGTGCACACATTCCAGTGTTGCCACGAGCTCACGGGAAATGCCCGGGCCACCTTGGGGTAGTCTGGCATGCGCACAGAACCCAAAAGTGTTAATGAAATTCTAAGCCACTGGTGAACAGTTTACCCTTACATTATCTTATACTAAATCAATGTGCATTGGATTACTTTGCGGCTCATATATATATAAAAAAATCTAATCCAATAAACTCGACACTTTCGCGCGCCCGACAGTACCTGTGTAACTTTCCTGGTGTGCGCCATTCGTTTCGGGCGACCACGTAGCAACAAATGTTTATAGTCTTCGGTCTGCTCACCTTAAATTTCCATGTATGTATTTAAGAGGGGTTTAAAATAACACTGTACAGGCAGCCCTTGTTAAGAGCAGTTAACAGTGATCCTGCATGATAAAATTCCAACTATTCAGAGGTTACAGAAACAGTAAAAACTTACCAATTACATTAATAATACGGCCAAGTGTTCCTGGACCAACGGGAATAGAAATGGGGCCACCAGTGTCCCTAACAACATTGCCACGAACAAGACCCTCTGTACCATCCATAGCAATAGTTCGTACTGTGTTCTCTCCTGTAATAAACAAACTTGCTTGTTACAAATGAACAAAAATAAGAATTTGGGGGGGGGGGGGGAAATACAGCATTAATTACAAGTTAAATTACCCTTTAAAAATTAACATGAACACACACACATCCAGCAAACTTTCATTTCCTGAAGGCACACAACCACTAAACCTTCTACACAGGTACAGTACTTAAAATGACACTACTGAACCACCAACACAGCATTTTGCCCCCACCCTGCTTCTCAGGCTACCGAGAAGCCCCATGACAGTTGTGGACTTAAGTGTAATGTTATCCACTTTGGCAGCAGGTGTTCTGACTCTTGTTAGATAACACCTGCCCAGCCTGTCACTTTACCACCTCCATCTAGAGGAGTCACACCATCATCCAGTCACTGGACACTCTAGCACGTTTGCTTCCTCAATCTTACCAAGACAATCATAAGGCTCAGGGAGGGTGATTTGACAAATCTGGTGATTAAACAAGGAAATAATAGGATTGGCTAACATACTAGCCTGCAAAATAGAGTTGCAATTAATACTCAAAAGTATAGGCAAGTTCCCTCACAATTTTTATATTAAATAAATATATATACAACACACAAGTTCTTACATTCTTTTAAAGCCATTAGGATTCATAGCATTTCATGCAGGTCCTTAAATCTTAATTTTTCCTTTGAATACAACCCATCAAATCACTTAACCAAGTACCCATTCACTGCTGGGTGAACAGAAGCACACAGTTAAGGATTGACACCAAGTCAATCTTCTCCGGCCAGGATATGAGCCAAGGCCAAATTGCTCACGCATGGGTGGCGAGTGTTTTACCACTGCACCACAGGAACTGCCATACATTAATCTTAATATCCAAGAACTAATTAAGATATCCCTATCTATACATCCCTACCATGGTAATAATTGAAATATAAATGAATGACTAGGGACCAAGCACTTTCAATTTGAGCTGAAAAATATCTATGATCAAACATCAGGTCCCCACCTCACCGGCACAAGTCACACCGAGTAGCAGCTTTTCTCTGGGGCCCCCTCCCATCTCTTGTCCTGTTCAGTAACTTGTATGGAGAGAACTGTTGGAAGACCTGCTTTGAAGGCCCCATCATACCCAAATTCTGTTGCCTGTGCACTTAAACACACTTTTTATCAATGCACAAGCTTGATGGGTGACATTACCAGTTAGCAAGCCTAAATATACTGTACAAACTGGGAGTTGAAGGGGCACCATATGCATTGGATGAACTTTTTCGAGTTTAACCGAGTTGAGCTGTTACAGCAGGAGCATGTGATAATGAATCACTGGAGTTGTCATCTGCCCGTCACTAGTCTGGAAAAGCATGTCCTGACAATCCAGCAAGTCCTTATTCAATCCCTGTACAATTCTTTGAAATTTAATCATGTACAGTACAGTGGAACAAAATGTTATTCTTACCAAGGTGAAAAAGGTGGACTTTAGTCTTCTGTAATCCAATTTTTTCTTATACAGGATTGGCTGAGGTTAATTAACAGCTCTGCTCATGATTTATTCAGACAGTCTTCCCTCATGCAGAGAAAAAAGCACAACTTTTCTTTAAAATGGCAAACTTAATCTTCATAATATTCCTCTGGCTGCTAGCCAAATAGATCAATATAACCCATTAAAAAAATATTTATCAACTGAATACCATTTCCTTACTACTGTACCGCTTGTTCCCACTTCTGTAATAAAAATGGGTCAGGTATACAAAAAGCACAAAGTACAAATTTAAACCAACTAGGTCCTTAAAACAAACTAAGATATATCTCACCAAGATGCTGGGCCACTTCAAGAACCAGCCTGGGTGTCCTGTTCTCCACCTCCAGGGAATTCAAAATAGGTGGCAACTCTCCATCAAACTGGACATCAACCACAGCACCAATTACAGCCACAACCTTGCCATTAGCCACTCCGGTCTGAGTGGCAGCTTCAGCCTTTGCAGCATAATTGCGCTCTGAAATGATAGCATAGATGGAGCAAGTAGGTCAGGATGTTGAACAGTACACTACTACTTCGGTACCTCAGTTGGCCAGGATCTGTCACCATGATCATGTATGGCACGCAAAACCTGTCTCATCACAAAGTAAAAATCATATAACTTTACCCAAAATATAATTGAATACAGTACTAAAAGAAGCTGGTAATAATGATCACTTACAGCAAGTTTAACATTGTAATTCAGAAAAAAGTACAGAAATATTAAGGACATTAAAAAGGGCTAATAAACTTTACACCAAATAATTTTCAATACTACACTATATGAATTATTGTACTGCACATATTTAACTAACATTAAGCATGCAATACCAAATGGGGATAAGCACAAGCAAGTAGGTTTCTATTTAAAACTCCTTGTCTGGGTTGCAAAGACATTGAAAGTCACCCCCCCCCCACCCATGAATCTTTCCAATATACAATTTATAGGGGGGGGGGGTAGAAATTGCCTAAGCTACTCCATCTCCTTGAGATGTATTTTTTGTCTCTATAAACATACTTGAACTTTAATACAATTTAGCAACTTCTGCATTAACTATACAACATTTGCCTGAATTTAAAACTTTAAAATCTGCACTCCATTTATGCTGATCCTGACAGGGAAACCTGACAGCCGAGTGGACAGCGCTTGAAATTCGTAGTCCTGAGGTTCCGGGTTCGATCCCCGGTGGAGGCAGAAACAAATGGTCAATGTTTCTTTCACCCTTGATGCCTCTGTTCATCTAGCAGTAAACAGGTACCTGGGAGTTAAGACAGCTGCTACAGGCTGCTTCCTTGGGGGGGGTAACAAAAAGGATGCCTGGTCAAGGACCGGGCCAAGGGGACGCTAAGCCCTGAAATCATCTCATGACGACCCCAATTTATCATTACTAACCTGACCCAATTAAACAGCCCTCACCCCCATGAGCCTCTACCTTAATCTGTCTTCAGTTTTGATACTCAAAGTACAGTATACACGAAACTTTACATTAAACTCCTGAGAAACTGGAAAAGCTTTAATGTCCACAATGCCGTTAAAAATTTGTACATGTACAATCTTCCATAAGTCTTCCAGTGTCAGGCTAATGAATTACAGTATTTAGAACTCTAGGTTTGATCAAGCTGCTCATTATGGGCATAAAGAGCCTAGCAAATATCCAGCTACGGATATTTGGACTAACTAGGGAGCATAGGGACTTTTTCCAACTTAATTTTTCCAACTAATAGTACTGTAACTACTAATCTCTTTCATAGTAACTTAGTTTTTTGTCTTCACTCGCTATAAATCTGATCAACAGTTTGCAAACTGTAATATGCTAATATAGATTTAGACAAGATGTTCTCAAAGGCTATGTCCACTATAGAGGCAGCAGGCTAAAAAAAACCTACTGGTAGGATTCACTTCCAACTGGCTTGGGCAAAAGCCTGTAATTGGGATTCTCCCCCTCCAAAAGCTTTTTTCCTCCTTCAAAGGGAAAGTTACAGAGATAAAGTATAACTGGTTCACCAGCCTGCTGCCAACATCTGAGGGAGTCGGACCAATGCTAGCCTCTTATTGACTATATACCCTCAGCTGAAAGTATTAGTGATACAACACTAGTAGAACCCCATGTTCTTCCACTTCTATTCACCTAATTTTATATAGTCAAATTTCTAGAGCACTTTGAATATAGTTGTGCAAATTTGTCAACTAAACAGCCAATTGACATTTCCGTCCATCCTGGACCATTATTGTCAGTCCAGGACAGACGGAACCTTGTCACTACCTTGAGACATGGGTTGGGCGTCTAATTTTCAACCTCATTTCCGACATTATTACTACTATGACTTTTATAGACAATTATACACAAGGCATGAACAGAACTGAACCATATCCATACTAATTTCTTTATTTTGAACTTTACCCAAAAAGTGCAACAAATGCAGAATTCACATTTTACCAGCCATATGATACAGTGCGGGCAGCCACCAGGGTCTATGCAGTACTAGTAACTATGGTGCTAATTAACCATCTACCATCAGACCACTCCCGACCAATATACTACCACCATTTCCCTGGAGTCAAGAAGGTTAATAAACCTGAAATTATTTTACACGTACATAATATTACAGTACAAGGTGTGACGACTCTGGTATCCTATGGCTGCATCCAGGAATATTTGGGGATATTTCAGCCCTGGGCACTGGGTACACGGGCACAGAGAGGGAGGGGGGCTACCTTAAGGGCATTACACCCGAGATAAGCACACCGAGATGAGAGGAAGGTCCTTCAGCCTTACATACAATCTTGACTATTCTAGTTTTACTACAATGTTAACGTCAATAACAGTAGTATTATTGCCACACCCGACCCGTCTCCCTACACCCTGGGGGAGTGAGGTGTACGGTACGGGTGTATTACCGATGGTGGCCGGGTGGTACATCAGCTGATACCGGTACCACGGCCATCACACCACCGGTACCCCGGCCCTCACACCACCAGCCAGTACCCCGTCCCTCACACCACGACATGCCCCACAATACCCAGCAGTAGTGCCCACACAACATAGCCATGACGGGACACAGCCGGTGCTGGGAGAGGCGGCCATGTTAGCCGGAGTTACCGGCGCCGCCTAGACACCCTCAGCCCCGCCCTCGGCGCCTCCCTCAGGTAACTTACGGGCGGCGTACACAGCCGGGATGGTCCTCGCCCCTCCATGCTGCAGGGACAGGGATGCCACAGCAGGCTTGGCCGCCTTCAGGACAGAGGAGCAGGCACGGGCGGCAGCTCCCAACATGGTGGCTGGTGTGAGTGGTCGGTCCGGCACCCTCGGCCGCCCTCGACCACCCTCGGCCACCCTCGGCTCCACTCGGCTCCAACGCTCCCACATTATCCAACCCTTCATTTTATATTGATTTATTATATCATTGTGCAATATCTTTGTAATTTTTAGGCATACATATTCGTAATACGAATTCGTAATAATTTATCTTCTAACTCGATTTGATTATTTACGAGTTTGGAGTATAAGTTAAGAGTGCAAGTTAGTAGTGCAGAGGCATTTGGCAGGTGTCGTCAGCTGTTGGGCGGTTGTGGTCGCAGATCGCTAATGGGCGGTGGGTGGCAGAGAGCGACAATATTGGGCGGTGGGTGGCATAAAGCGACAATAGTCGGCGGTGGGTGGCAGAGAGCGACAATATTGGGCGGTGGGTGGCATAGAGCGACAATAGTCGGCGGTGGGTGGCAGAGATCGAGCGACAATATTGAGCGGTGGGTGGCATAGAGCGACAATATTGAGCGGTGGGTGGCATAGAGCGACAATATTGAGCGGTGGATGGCATAGAGCGACAATAGTGGGCGGTGGGCGGCATAGAGCGACAATAGTGGGCGGCAGAGAGCGACAATTTTAGGCAGTGGGTGGCAGAGTGACAATAGTGGGCGGTGGGTGGCAGAGAGCGACAATATTGAGCGGTGGGTGGCATAGAGCGACAATAGTCGGCGGTGGGTGGCAGAGAGCGACAATATTGAGCGGTGGGTGGCATAGAGCGACAATATTGAGCGGTGGGTGGCATAGAGCAACAATAGTGGGCGGTGGGCGGCATAGTGACAATAGTGGGCGGCAGAGAGCGACAATTTTAGGCAGTGGGTGGCAGAGTGACAATAGTGGGCGGTGGGGTGGCATAGAGCGACAATAGTGGGCGGTGGGCGGCATAGAGTGACAATACTGGGTGGCAGAGAGCGACAATTTTAGGCAGTGGGTGGCAGAGTGACAATACTGGGCGGCAGAGAGCGACAATACTGGGCAGTGGGCGACAGAGCGCGACTACAGTGGACGGCTGAGAACGACTATAGTTGGCGAATCACCAGGTGAATACTATGGGCAGGATAATTATTATGCAAAGTTCCATTTCTAGATAAAGCCTAAAAGTACACACAAATACAAGAATACAGTGGAGGAGCCGCGTCTGTATCTCCCCACACAGCTACCAGCCTCTCCCTATATTACCAACCCATTCCTCTCATACCCATCCTACCACCCACCCTCGCATTACAAAAACCTTTGGCCATTAACATTCCGAAAGGATTCAAGCCTTAGTCTATATAAAGCTACAGGTCAAAAACTATAGTATCTATAGGTTCACCTAATATCACAGTCTCACAGGATGGTTACCAGTCATGGGATGATTTTAGAACTAATTTACTAGCTGTTGTTGTTGTTGTTGTTATAGATTCAGCTACTCTGAACAAGTTCCAAGTAGCACGGACTTACCTGGCACAGGAGCGTGGCAAGTAGCACGGGCTATGGTGAGCCCGTAGTGGACTTACCTGGCACAGGAGCGGTGCTGTCCTCTTGTGATTTACTAGCAGATTGATTGATTGATAAAGATTAAGCCACCCAAGAGGTGGCACGGGCATGAATAGCCCGTAAGTGGTACATTTTTTTTTTGTTCAGTAATTCTTTTCAGTATTCTGAGGTTGCATTTAATCGTCAAGCTGTTATCGCGGGGAAGGATACTGCTTGACAGTCTTCATGAGGGTCTCCAGCTGCTGGACACCTTTTTTGACCAGGCGAGTGGCTGTGTTGAATGCTTCAGGGTGGCCACTGCAAGATTCAGGGACTCTTGAAGCTTTTCTAAGGTCGTTGGTTGCTTCACATTCCAGAAGATAGTGAAGTAATGGCTTTTCTGTGACAGTTTGGCAGAAGATGCACTCTCTCTGTCGGGGTTCACCAATCTCCCAGTTGCATCTATAACCTAGACGTAGTCTTTATAACCTAACTGTTATTTCCGTGGATTTCTTTGGGATATTTAACCTTTCTAATTTGGTTGCCTGAAGATACCATGTTGCAGAGGGCAAACTTTCAGCTATTCTCTGGTGTAGATAAGCTTTGTTGAGATGTGAGAGTTTTTTGGTGATGATGTTTTTTTATGTTCTTTAGGCTGGGTTGAATTGTTTTATGTATCACTGGATGACGAGTTGCCAAGTTAGCAATTTCATCAGCTTTCTCATTTAATGGGATTCCAGCATGGGATGGGATCCAGTTTAAGGTTATGTTGAGTCCTTTGCCTTTAGCGACAGCTCCAAGATGAAAAATGGTGGTAATTATTTCCACTGTTTTTGCCCTAGTATTTGAAGTAAAGCTTTTGAGTCTGTGTATGATTGCATTTTGAGTGTTTTGTGCAATCGCATATGCGAATGCCTGTTGTATGGCAAACAGCTCAGTTTGGGTTAATGATACTAGTCCTTCCAGTCTCCAGTATGCCTGTACGCTGGCCGTGCAAAGAGCAGCGCCAGCACTCATATTGTGTGTCCACCGATCCGTCTGTGAAGATGTGGGTGGCTCCTGCTACTGCAATGCTATACATTTGCTCTTCTATTATGCGCCTTAGGATTGTCGGGTCATAGGCAGCCTTTTTCATTAGGAGATTTTCTATTTTGACAGTAGGCTCTTCCCACGGTGCGGAAGGAGTGTAATTTGGGTTTACTAGCCGCACTAGCAACCTTAAATAGTCTTTGTCTACTCTGACTGGGAGGGCTACCCTGTCGTCGGACATGTATTCTAACCTTTGTTGGATGACTCGGCTGGTGCCCCCTCTACGGGCCTCAGCACCATCTGAGGAGTCTTTTAAAATTGGCTCTAACAACGTGGTCTTTTAATAATTTGCCTTTCCTCCATGCTATCATAGGTTTCTCTGGAAATGAGGGCCATATTGGGTGTTCGTTGTAGGTTTCTCTCAACCAACTCCATATGTCTCATGTCAGAATGTGGTGGTTCAGCATAACCTTTGAAGTATCAAAAGAAGGCACCAAAACTTCCTTCCAACTTAGGCAGGGGGACCCTCCATGGGGGCAAGGATGGAACGATACGAGGAGAAATACTGGTAAAAATTCAAAATTCAAATGTTTATTTAGGTAAAGTACATACATACAAGGGGTGATACAAATGTTGATGAATTTATAGTTAGTACATACAATGCCTAAAGCCACCATCTTGAGGTTATCTTGAGATGATTTCGGGGCTTTAGTGTCTCCGCGGCCCGGTCCTCGACCAGGCCTCCACCTCCAGGAAGCAGCCCGTGACAGCTGACTAACTCCCAGGTACCTATTTACTGCTAGGTAACAGGGGCATTCAGGGTGAAAGAAACTTTGCCCATTTGTTTCTGCCTCGTGCGGGAATCGAACCCGCGCCACAGAATTACGAGTCCTGCGCGCTATCCACCAGGCTACGAGGCCCCTTACACAAAGCGTTTCGGGCAGGAAAAACACTAAAGACTAAAACTTAATACTAATTGAGATTAAAGTATAAAATGTGTTTAGAAAATTTAAAAAAAGGGGGGAACATGGCAGAAAAACAGCAAAATACAATTTGGTCGACAAACTGCATTGTTTAAAAAAATTGACATGGGTTGACATAGGGGTAAGGTAAGTTACAGGATGTTAATTAGGTAGTGCTTAGTTTTTATCTTTAACTGGTTGAGAGGTACAGTCTTTAACATGATTGGGAAGATCATTCCACATTCTGGGTCCCTTGATTTGTAGAGCATTTTTAGTTTGATTAAGTCGTACTCTTACGAACTCGAACTCTTACGTACTTTCGGTAACACTTTCGGAAATTGTGAAAAAAATCCCTCCAGAAAAAGGGGCCCCACCTGTTAAAGCCATGGCACAATTAAATTAGGATGCTGCAGAGACCGGGTGAACTATTTATTCTGTAGACAGGTCGCCGGTAAAGTACTAGCTCAAGGTATGTGGACTAAAATAGCACAATAGCCAAGGTGTAACCTAGTATGGTGCTGAGCATTAAAGACAGGGTGAAGAGGCAGATTAATAGGTGTGTCAGCTATTAGTTTTAGACAGTACTAGAAGTGTCAGCTTTCCTGGATGTAGGGGATATAACAAAGTTGGTAAAAGCCTTTGAGCATTAAACTCTAATGTAAGGGATGACTAAGAAACTAGCGTCAAAGATCCCAAAATATTTAGCAGAACAAAGGGATTACTAGTGAAAGTAATTATCAAAAGAAGGCACCAAGCCAAATTACCAATGATTACTTCACCCCCAAGTCGTTCAACCAAGACAAATATTAGTTTTAGAGAACTAAGCCATAATTATCAATCAAAATTGCAGCTGGTTTTAGAGCAGCCGGACTAGATACGTTGAAGGCACTTTACACAAGTAGAGGCCAACACAGACTATTTCCAGAGCCCGTGCACGCAGCAGAGTGACTAAGAACCCATCAGTCTTACTTTGATATAGGTCTGGGACAAGGTTCAGAGTTCTACTACTACTACTAAGCCTGGCACTGCTGGCACTGGTTTCACTTCTGACGAACTGACATTTAGTGATCATTACCAAATTTAGAGATGACCAGGAAAATAGCTAACACTATGGATAACGAGTTCAAATCTAGGGATCCCACAGCAATGCTAATACCATTTAAAACACCGGTGCCGTTCGTCTCGAATACTGCTCGGTACTTGCTTCCCCTTTCAGAGACTGTCTTTAATAGTGAATAAAAAGAGCATATACGGCATGCGCACAAAATACCTGTACTTGGGACCACCGATAAAGCTCTCAAAATGTACTCTGGAAAGAGGGGAGTACAGAACACAAAAAGGGATATCAAATGTTTACATTAAAAGATACTGATGGCCAGGTTCCAAAATGGGACAGTAGAACATAATGGCTCAAAATATAAAAAGGAAAAAGTAGAATAGAACCAATGAAGGTGCCATAGACACAGCATTGACCAGAGGGCCACAGGTGTTCAATACTCTCCCAGCAAGTATTAGAAATAGAGCCTAGGCTGCGAGAACTACTCCAAAGATCCTCTCCAAGTAAGGTTGGAAGAAAAGTGTCTGCTACCTTATGTATTCGGACAATTTTTAGTGATCAAAAGTTCAGACCCAAGTATGTGTACGACACCGACTAGTAACTTAATACATTACTCAAACAGGATTAAAACTTTCCACCAAGCAGAGACAACCATAGCACTGTTGCTGGTTAATCAAAAGGCAATATGTATCGCAGAGTAAGTCAATACAGGAACAAATAGACATCAGTGACAAATATCCATTTCAACACATTTTTACCAAGGACAAGAGCCAGGATATAAAAGCAAAACTTTGTATCTTTAATACAAGAACATTCTACTTGTGCACAACCTTAAATCTTATCAAAATGACAAAGTACCTTATACCATACACAAGGAAACTGGATGAAACCATCAGGATAAAGCACCAAGCCATTATGACTATATAGCACTGGGTCAGGATAAGGATACACATGGAACATCATTTTCCAGATATTACAAGGACAAAACCAAGTAACAAATTTCAATAATATATATGCATTATAAACCTACAGTATAAATTATTTAAGATTAATCATTAATTACAATAAACTCAGGATATTTAAAACAAAATATTATGCAGTACTTTATTAAACCTTGAAGTCACACTGAAAGGTTAAAGTAATAATCGGGATGGAATGAAGAAATGTCGAACCACCTGGGCCATTGGGGATCAAACCAACCACGCAAGAGCTGCTGCCAAACCAAGCCACAAAACTCTTGCTGCTGCTGCCATGCCCTGTATAGATAAATTTTTAAATTAAATGGCTTACATCAATATCAGACAGCGACATTTTTCCATTTAAAATCAGATGCAGAAAAATCAGCAGTGTAAACTAAGTCTTGCCAAATTTATCATCATTTAAAACATTAATAGGGAGGAGAGGTTGGATTATTCACCATTTGACAACTCCTGACTTAAAATACTTGAACAGTGATCCGAACACTGCAGTTCATACTAAATCCGGCAGCATAACTTCGTAATACTTCAACAATGGTTTCATTCAAACCTAAAATATTTTTAAAATATTTATGGCCAAATAGATAGGTCCTACAGTATTAACACTGGAATAATCAATGATATTCTACAGCCTTTTATATAATAATTTGGGCAACTATCCAACAATAACAATGCTCATACCTGCAGCAACTAATTCACCTAGCAAGGAACCTGTAAGAACCTACTGGTGCTAGGTACCATGACTGAGGACCACTGTATAGCAATGTGAAATGTCAATAACACTAATTTTGAAGTAAAAAATTCAGCTGTCACACTAAATCAACTTACCAAAAGCATTGCCATCTTGTTGATAAATGTGTCAATTCTGCCAAACCAAGCCACAAAACTCGTGCTGCTGCTGCTGCCATGCCCTGTATATATAAAAAATTTTTTAAATTAAATGGCTTACATCAATATCAGACAGTGACATTTTTCCATTTAATATCAGATGCAGAAAAATCAGCAGTGTAAACTAAGTCTTGCCAAATTTGTCATCATTTAAAACATTAATAGGGAGGAGAGTTTGGGATTATTCACCATTTGACAACTCCTGACTTAAAATACTTCAATCCTGACTTAAAATGCCAATAGCACTAATTTTGAAGTAAAAAATTCAGCTGTCACACTAAAATCAACTTACCAAAAGCAATGCCATCTTGAGAAATTTTTTAAATTCTGCCAAACCAAGCCTCAAAACTCCTGCTGCTGCCATGCACTGTATAGATAAAAACTAAATAAATAAATGAAATGGCTTACATCAATATCAGACAGTGACATTTTTCCATTTAATATCAGATGCAGAAAAATCAGCAGTGTAAACTAAGTCTTGCCAAATTTGTCATCATTTAAAACCTTAATAGGGAGGAGAGGTTGGAATTATTCACCATATGACAACTCCTGACTTAAAATACTTCTTCAATCCTGACTCCTGATAACTCCAGACTTAAAATGCCAATAACACTAATTTTGAAATAAAAAATTCAGCAGTCACACTAAAATCAACTTACCAAAAGCATTGCCATCTTGTTGAGAAATGCTTCAATTCTGCCAAACCAAGCCACAAAACTCTTGCTGCTGCTGCCATGCCCTGTAGATAATTTTTTTTTTAAATTAAATGGCTTACATCAATATCAGACAGTGACATTTTTCCATTTAATATCAGATGCAGAAAAATCAGCAGTGTAAACTAAGTCCTGCCAAATTTATCATCATTTAAAACATTAATAGGGAGGAGAGTTTGGGATTATTCACCATTCGATAGCGCCTGACTTAAAATACCTCTATATAACATGTGTGTATAGTGTAATAACTGCAACTCTAGCATGTTGGGAGGAGAACTTTGGTGAGGGAGGTGGTGTCGTACTCGTAGCACCGTCTGTGTGACTTGTCATGCAGTGCATGGTGACCACTGCTGTTTGGACAATACCAGCTTAGTTGTACAGTTATGGTGAATAAAACGTGTAGATACTTGTACATGTGTAAATAGTGTAATAAAAATAATAGTATGGTGGGAGGAGGAATTTTGGCAAGTAAGGTGATGAGAGGGAGGGCTGGCCGAGTGTGGCAGCTCATGTTTTTTGGGCTTGCCAACTTAATGGTTCATTATGGTGAACACTTATGTAGATAGGCATATACAATGTATTTAGTGTAATACAGTAAAGACATCGATTGATCATAGAACATGTCACCTATATGAGCCCCATAATTTTGAATACAGCAATGTTCCACATTTTGAACTATAAATTCCACAAATTTCACACTAATAATAATTGTGAAACATTACATTCGTGGCAACTGCCACCCCACGGGGTCAACTGGTCCCCAGCGCTCCATCACTCAAAAAATGTAAAACAAAAATGCCAGGTGATAGCACTACATTCCAGAAAAAATGGATGAATCCATGTATGACAAATGATTAGTAAAAACCTATTGACCACCACCTTTGGTTACAAGTATCAACAGTTGCATGGAGGGAACTTTGAGACTATAGTATAAAAAATGAAATACTTTTTTAAAAAATGTTACACTATACATGTATACTTCAGTGCATGTACATAAACTATCAATGAAATGTCTAGTATATAAATGCAGAGTTCTCACACCAAGGCAGTAATGCCTCAACATCCCCCCCCCACTCATTGCCAAATGCAATTTACAAAATTGAAGCAGTTTTTTTTTCATTTAATCTGACAAACATACGATATGGCTAAAAGTAGAAAAAACTCATAATACTGGTAATAAACTTACATTTTAATCTCTCATGGACACCCAAACTTCAATGTTGAATTGCAGTTCAATGGAATCTGAAATCCATAAAACATTTGTACAAAAGAATAAACAAACATTCAGCTCATTAAAACTGTCTTCAGTAAAAAGCTTTCATCATTGTGTCAGCCCCGAAAGATATAAACATCATGAACTGTATAAAACAGCCAATATGCATACTTGATGACTTACCTCATCATTCATACATCATGGTTATCTGGATTGATCAGCATACAGCAAACTGAAATATAAATATCCATTGTATATATAGCCCATATATTTATATACAAATTTTAAAGTAAAAGTACAGTACTTCAGTATGAAACTTTCGTCATGCCACATCAGCCCCGAAAGATAAAATCTTCATAAGAAAACAGCAATTCTAAGTTTGATGAAAAAAATGGCAAAATAAATCTGGTACTTTAGCAGTACGTACTTTTCTTATAATACAAGTAACCTGCAGAAAACACCAACGAATCAGGTAAAAGGCAACTTTACCCTACAACCTCCCGAATTCATTCTTTTCTCAAAGCTGGATGCTTCTACCCAAAGACTGGGAAAATTGGTACAACTAGTGTCAAATAATTTTAATTGTCAAATACACCAGTTACCTTACACTTTACTCAGTTTCTATGATCGAGCCACAGAGATATTACAGGAAAGAGATGGTTGGGTTGACTGTATCTATCTGGACCTAAAAAAGGCTTTCGACAGAGTTCCACATAAGAGGTTGTTCTGGAAACTGGAAAATATTGGAGGGGTGACAGGTAAGCTTCTATCATGGATGAAAAATTTTCTGACATAGAAAAATGAGGGCAGTAATCAGAGGCAATGAATCAGAATGGAGAAATGTCACAAGTGGAGTACCACAGGGTTCAGTTCTTGCACCAGTGATGTTTATTGTGTACATAAATGATCTACCAGTTGGTATACAGAATTATATGAACATGTTTGCTGATGATGCTAAGATAATAGGAAGGATAAGAAATTTAGATGACTGTCATGCCCTTCAAGAAGACCTGGACAAAATAAGTATATGGAGCACCACTTGGCAAATGGAATTTAATGTTAATAAATGTCATGTTATGGAATGTGGAATAGGAGAACATACACCCCACACAACCTATATATTATGTGAGAAATCTTTAAAGAATTCTGATAAAGAAAGAGATCTAGGAGTGGTTCTAGATAGAAAACTATCACCTGAGGACCACATAAAGAATATTGTGCAAGGAGCCTATGCTATGCTTTCTAACTTCAGAATTGCATTTAAATACATGGATGGCGATATACTAAAGAAATTGTTCATGACTTTTGTTAGGCCAAAGCTAGAATATGCAGCTGTTGTGTGGTGCCCATATCTTAAGAAGCACATCAACAAACTGGAAAAGGTGCAAAGACATGCTACTAAGTGGCTCCCAGAACTGAAGGGCAAGAGCTACGAGGAGAGGTTAGAAGCATTAAATATGCCAAAACTAGAAGATAGAAGAAAAAGAGGTGATATGATCACTACATACAAAATAGTTACAGGAATTGATAAAATCGACAGGGAAGACTTCCCGAGACCTGGAATTTCAAGAACAAGAGGTCATAGATTTAAACTAGCTAAACACAGATGCCGAAGAAATATAAGAAAATTCACCTTCGCAAATAGAGTGGTGGATGGTTGGAACAAGTTAAGTGAGAAGGTGGTGGAGGCCAAGACCGTCAGTAGTTTCAAAGCGTTATATGACAAAGAGTGCTGGGAAGACGGGACACCACGAGCGTAGCTCTCATCCTGTAACTACACTTAGGTAATTACACTTAGGTAATTACTTTACAATTTCACTTGGCCAAAGAGAATTGGTAAGCTGGCAAAACTTGCGTACCAAAATATAGCAACTCCACATTGATTATATATATATAAATATATAAAATTGAATGTTTTATTTTAATAAAGGTAGATAATTTTAATGAAATAATTTGAACAATTACATTAGCTTAAAACGCTTACCAAAAGCAATGCACCCAAGTGTAGAAGAAATGCTTCACGTCTGCCACACATGAAGCCACAGCATCCAACATACATTCATTCTGAAAAATGTAAATACTTGTACAGTACACTATATTTAAAGTATGTATCAATAGCAAACTGACCTTTTAAGTTTTCAGAAGCATAAAATCAGCAGTATAAACTAAGTCCCGCCAAATTTGTCATCATAAAGGATTAGGGATATTAAGAGAACTAGCCAGTAGTTTGTTTTTAACAGTTACATTAGCTTAAAAACCACTTACCAAAAGCAATGCAATCTCTTGTTTGTAGAAATGCTTCATCTCTGCCAAATGAAGCCACAGCACCAACCATGCACTGAAAAATGTAAACATGGTAAATTATATTAAAAGAATTTATCAATATCAAGCTGACATTTTTAAATCATATCAGAAGCATAAAATCAGCAGTTTAAATTAAGTCCCGCCAAATTTGTCATCATTGAAAAATAACTAGCTTATGGATATAACAAGGGAAGGCAATTTAACCATGTGGTCGTTTATAAACCAGCTGCATATTTTAATTATTATTACCGGGTTTTATATCAGTAATGTAGATAAATTTCAGAAATAACAGACTTGAAGGGGGGGGGGGGAAGAAGTCTGTTAATGAGGGTGGGTTCCTTGTGGAGGGTGCAGGGAAGTTGTGCAACTATGCATAGTGTATCATTGTGTTAGCAATTAAATTCCTTGCAGGTGTATATGCATATAGTAATGTCCAAAAGCCTGGCGAGATGTTTTGCATCAAAGCCTTAAGTTAACGTGAACGAGCACCAATTTGCATGCCACAACCTAATGTGTATACTCTTTCAGTTTTCAACATCAATTTTCACGTTACGTCAGTTGTTTTGGTATGAATTTTTTTGCAATCTAAATGCGCAAATTTTAAAACTAGTCCCATAATAATAGCACAATAAATAAATTTTAACAAATATTTTAAAATTTAGACCCAAAAAGGCATTTATAATCTTCCAAGTGTTCAGACATCAAGTTTCGCGTTACATCTTTAATTTTGATATCAAATTGTGCGCACTCTAAAGGTGCTTACAGTATTTTGAAACTATCCCGAGGTCGATTGGATAAAAAATGAATTTTATACAAATCTTTTTGTAATGGACACAAGTGCTGTCCACTGCCAGGCCTCGAGAAAAAAAATGGACGTGATCGGTGTCCAAAGCGAGCAATAATGTTAAATACAGTAATGAATACTGTACAGTCAATGCAAGTAGCACATGATTTAAGGTGTTAATGGTTTAACAAGCAATAAGTATATTTGTGTAGGTGAACAGAGCTGTGAATAAGTACAGTAGAATGGTTAGACATACCTAATACTAGTCGCTAGTTAAAACTTACAAAAGAATATTATATGCCTAGCAAGGGAATATCAACCCTATTTGACATTAAGTTATGCCAAATTAGTTAATGATCTTATTCATAGATATCAAAAATTTTTACAAATTTTTTAAAATGTTAATCCAACCCAAGGTTTTTTTTCCACAGTAATGCAGCACATTACACAAAATTTGTAGAAACAGCTACTTAATTATGTAAATATTAATAAATGCAAACCCATCTAAACTCCTTTTTTGTTAGTACCAATAAGTGTCAAACTCCATTTTGGATTTTCATATGAACAGGAAATACAACAAGTGGATTCTTTGAATCCCAAACATAGCAAGTACTGTATACATTTTTAGCTACTTAAGAAAAAAAGCTAAATGTTTATTTTAAAGATTTCAGCAAGACACTTGTCAGCTACGAAAGAAATTTTTTTTCAAAAAGTAAAAACTTCACATTCATACTTAAAGACCTACCAAATGACAACTTCAGCAGTAATCCAGGCATCTGGCTAGTCTTCCATTTCGCTCGGTAATCTGAAAAGCAGATACTAGTCTTAAATTTATTTTGGCTTATGTCTATAAACACTACATATTTTCATTCTTCAGTGTTAAACTTTCATCAACCCACATCAGCCCCGAAAGATAAGATAATCATAAGCAAAACGAGTTGCACATGCAAAATACTGGGTAAAGTTACATTGAAGGACCTTACCTGTGATGACCCAAATGGAGAACAAATTCATCCATGACCTAGGATGAACTTTTCATATCTGAAATATAAACAAATACAGCACTGTATTAACAGAAGGTATCAGCACAATTGTTACACGTGTGTTTACAGAAGGGTTTCAGCAAGAGTATTCTTCATTGTATATCAGTCCCGAAAGATAAAACATCATGGCAAGATCACAAATAAGAAAATGAAGATGTTTAGCACCTTACCTATCATGCCTCAAAATGATTTCCTTGGTGCCATAAATTCACCATCCAAGAAGCAACATGGATAATCTGCAACACATTAAATTTGAATTTAATGGACATCTTTTCAAGATTCAAGGAGCAGCATTAGTATAAAATAAAACTAATATTAAATCTCACTGGTGTGCATGCCTAAAGCTGGAGGACACACTTACACTTGTCATGATTAAGGTGAGAATGTACTGTACTTGCATTATTAATTTAATTTAGAAAACGTTAAACTAGATCGGTTTGATCAAATGCATTATAATTGTAGCCAGAGGCAGTCATATTGCATTAGGTGGAGGGTGTAATAACTAGCAGTATACCTCCTTTTCTATACAACCCATTCCATGAGGAATGGAGGAGGTACAGTATTGAGATTGTATTGGAAAACAATCTTGCCACTAAATTCTTACCTCCTTTTAACATTCCCATATTGAGACACGACATGCCATCTACCTTCTTGCCCTTCCGAAAGAGGGCATTTTTGTCAAGACTTCAATTTCAATTTATTACTTTAATAGCACTTCCCACTGTCCTATAAACTTTGTGCATTTTTGATTTGTATATAGTACACTGAGCAATGTACAAGTTCATTTCAATAGTATGAAAATGCATATACTGTATATACAAATTTGCTTCCTGGATGGTATTTAACAAAAATTCCAAAAAATTTATGTGCCACAGGGTTGTTAGCTATGTTAGTTATGTGTGCAGCTAAGAGGTTAATTGCTTAAGGCTCTGGCAGGTGCAAGCCCCAAATACCAGATTGGACAGTTATGATAGAGCACCTTTATGAAGATATCATAGTACAGTATATTTATTAACAAAGAACCTTGTTAAAAATGTGTTTTGTGGTGGGAAAGGCAGCCTGTTACTAGTGAAATCTCAATTCAACAAACCTATTTGGCAAATCGGTTGGAAAACCACTTTCCATGTCAATTTACTCCCTGAACAAAAAATTTGCCGAATCAGGGGATGTGTGGAAGCACCATTACAAGATAGTTGGGACCTTTGAAAAGCCATGAGCATATTTAACACCAAATTCTATACCTGGTTGATGGGGGGTCTGAGAGTTGTTCTACTCAAGCCCAGCCCGAGGCCAGGTTTGACTCCTTGAGTTTGGTTCACTAGGCTGTTGCTTGGAGCAGCCTGTAGGAACACATACCCACCACAGCCCAGTTGCTCTGGCACTCCTTGGAGGAAGCAATCTAGTTTCCTCTTGAAGATGTCCACTGTTGTGCCAGCAATATTTCTTATGCTCGCTGGTAGGGTGAACAACTGTGGACCTCTGATGTTTATACAGTGTTCTCTGATTGTGCCTATGGCACCTCTGCTCTTCACTGGTTCAATTCTGAATTTTCTTCCATATCGTTCACTCCAGTACGTTGCTATTTTACTGTGTAGATTTGGGACCTAGGGCCAGATTCACGCAAGCACTTTCAAACCTGTACATCTTTTCTCAATCTTTGGTGGCTGTTTCCAATTATTAAACAGTTAACGAGCTCAAGCACCAGGAGGCTGTTTATAACAATAATAGTTGAATGGAAGTTTTCATGCTTGTAAACCGTTTAATGAATGTAACCAAAGCCGTCGAAGATTGAGGAAAGATGTACACATTCGTAAGTGCTTGCGCAAGTGCTTTCGTGAATCTGGCCCCTGGCCCTCCAGTATTTTTCTTGTGTATATTATTTGGTATCTCTCTCGTCTCCTCTCTAGGGAGTACATTTGGAGGGCTTTGAAACAATCCCAATAATTTAGGCGCTTTATCTCGTCTGTGTGCCGTACATGTTATCTGTATTCCCTCTATTTCAATCTCCTGATCTGAAGGGGAAAGCGAGTACCAAGCAATACTCAAGACAGGACAGCACAAGTGATTTGATGAGTACAATCAATGTGATGGGATCTCTGGATTTGAAGGTCCTCGTAATCCATCCTATCTATTTTCTGGCCGACGCAATATTTCCTTGGGTTATGTTCCTTAAACATTAGGTCGTCGGACATCATTATTCCCAAATCCTCGATATGCTGTTTTCCTATTATGGGCAGATTCGATTGAGTTTTGTACCCTGAATTATGTTTCAGATCCTCATTTTTGCCGTATCTGAGTAACTAGAATTTATTACTTAAACAATTATTTTCTGCTGCCCAGTAGAAAACATTGTTAATATCTGTTTATAGTGTTTCAATGTCTTCTGCAGAGGTAATTTTCATGTTGATTTTTGTATCATCTGCAATTGATGACACGAAGCTGTGACTTATTTTTGTCTATATCTGCTGAGAATAAGGAACAGCAGTGGTGCAAGGCCCATACCTTGAGGTACAGGACTTGACTGCACTCGGACTATTTTATTTGACTGACGTTACCCTTTATGTTCTGTTCACAGGATATTGAGTATCCAGCGTCCCACTTTACCAGTTATACCCATTGACCTCATTTTGTGTGCTATCACTCAATGGTCATATTTGTCGAATGCCTTTGCAAAGTGTGTATACAACATCTACATTCTGTTTTTATCTTAATGCCTCGGTGATTTTGTTGTAATGGTCAAGTAGCTGTGAGAGGCATGATCTTCCCGTTCTGAATCCATGTTGGATTGGACTGTGGAAGACATTGATTTCCATGAATCTAGTGACCTGACTTGATCACTCAAACACTCAAATATTAAGTGGGACGTTAGTGCAACTGGTCTATAATTCTTTGCCAATGCTTTACTCCCTCCCTTGTGTAGAGGGGGCTATGTCTGTATGGTTCTTTTTAATGCCCAGTTGTGTTTTGTTAATATGCCCTCCCCCCCTTTTCCATTGAATGAGATTTCAAAGCTTGGGATAACGAAATATCCTAGGCGTATGTTAAGTGTTTTTACAGAACTGTTCTTTGTTGTCCTTCATATGACATGTTATATTATAATTTCACTTAATATTTTTGTTGGGTGAATGGCAACAATAGCTCCTACCACATTTTACAGATTTTTGTAGATTGGCACAACTTTACAAGAAATAGTAAGAGGCCTTGGGAAAGCTATGAAGCACAACGCCAATTAATATGGTTATTTTAATGTCTAGATGGCAAATGGGACGTTACACAATTCCCTGTACACTAATATGGGTCCTTTTATCTTTAGTAAAATTTAAAGTCTAGTGACCGGGAAAATATGCAAGATGGTCAAATCTCTAGACAGGTTCTCTTGGTATTTATCCATCATGCGAGCCTGGCTCCAGGCCAGACTTATGGAGTAGAACTCCCGAAACCCTCTAGGGATGCTCCAGGTATGGCAGGTTGAAAGTAAAATTTAACCGAAATCAGCCCAGAGGTAACTCTTAGTATGACACCAATCACACCTGTTATGGTTTGTAGATAGATTCAACCTTACAAAAAATAGTTGTAGCCTTGGGAAAGCTATTGAGGATTTCTTTTATAAAGGCTATTTCGATTTAAATCTTTCAATTATAAATTCTAGGGTTTGTTTTATTTTGAACTGGCAAAGTTTTTGTTGCCAAGTAATAAATGAGGCGAGAAATTAGCTAGATTAAATTTTTGGGACACATTGTAGTGGTCTTATTATAGGCCGAAATGAAAATATAGGCAGAAATAAAACAAATTGACTCGCATGAAAATTCATCCTGGAGGCATATCTAGTAGCAATGAATACTTCACTGCAACAAATTGGGATGGGATGCTCCAGGACGCAGGTTCGAATCCCCTTCACGGCCCTTGTGGATTTGTTCATTTAAATTGGGATGGTCCCATATTGTGTGTCAAATCTAAGTTGTATGTACTATACAGTATGTCAAGCTGGTATATAGGTCCTACCAATGTCTAACTACCAACCTTCCACAGGACGCAACTCCACACCAGTTAACTCCCAAGTACTTATTGCTAGGTGAACAGACTTTAGGCTAGAAAATGTGCCCAACATTTTAGTCCCAACTGTACCACCGTAAAAGTAGTCCAGCAAGCAACAGAGGACTAACCATCCTTTTCAGTTGAATTGTTGTTACGAGGTCATTAAAAAAAACTATCTTCAGCCCCAAACACCAGGGTCAAAGAGCTTCAGGAGCAGCTACAATTAATTGCTAACCTGTAACCACTCGCCCATCGTTACAAAAGGTTATAAAACCTTTCTGCCAGCTGCATTTATTAAACAAATTTTCCTTGCACTATTAAGAGTCTGGTATTTTACACTAGTCTCATTTTACAGATAGGTTAGTAGAATCTACATTTCTACTATTTCCAGCCACCGCTACAATTAACTATTCTAACATTTCCTAATAACTTATGTGGGCCCCTATTCCATTTTAGTTACTACTGTACTTAGTACTGCACGTACCATAGTTTCACAACTATACACTGAAGCACTATACCTGTACTATAACAGGATATATATATATACAAGTAATTGTATTAAAAAACACCTTAAAAACTACCTTGCATATTAATTATTTAAGGTTTTGCAAGACTTCTCACTACACTTTAAAGTTAATGATAACAATCACCAGGAAATGTGTGAAGACCATAATGCCCCGATGGTCAACACCACCAGGGTTTCAGAAGTCGTCACTTGCTATACCTCCATCGATATACAGCAGTGATGAACACACAGCTGTGGTAAGCTTAGGAGGCAAAGTATACTAGAATACTATTTTTGTATCAAGAGAAATGTCGAGCTCGCAATTGTCAAAACCATAATTCTCTCGGGCAAGGGGTAGTGATTACTTACAAAGCAATTTAACGGTACTGCAAACTGATGCCCCAATACAGGTCACTTCATAATGGAAGTCAAGTATTAACATTTGCAACCCAAAGCAAAAAATATTCTACTATATTCTATTCAAAATTAATTTTTTTTTTAAATTAATATACTTTGCTAACCTAATTTTAGAACCTAGCTATGCTGAACATTCAACATATTTGAATTATAATGATTATATGATGCTAAAAGTTGGAATTTTTAGAATTTTTAAAGTATTTAAAATACAAATTATGAAATTATTGCGAAACCTGGTGGGAAATGCCTAATAATGCCGAGTAGGGTAGACGGCATGGAGCACCAGACCCCACCACCATACTGCGGGAACACTGCTGCACATTTTCCAAGATACAATTTATTAAGTCCCTGCAGGATGTGCCAGATCCTCTGGGATGCGAATGGGCTTGCGGGCCGCTACAAGCAACAGCCAGACTTATCAAGTATGCCTCAGGAGAGAGCCCCACGAGGCCTCACGGACACGACACAAACGAAGTTTGAAATTAAAACCTCCAAGAGTGTAGGCGAGCGGCCAGCTACCGCCACCATAACCAGGCAAGATATATACGGCCATGACGCGCTCACCAGATGTCTCAACACTAAGACGCCATGTGACCACGACCCAACCAACACAGCTGCCTTAACCAATAACACAACTCGAGGCCAGTATTACATACCCGAGACTGTAGCGGTGAGGACGATGGTGGTGGAACATGACGGAGAGGAGAGAGGAGCCACGTGCGGCCCTCAGGAGGCGCCATGGTGCAGGAGCGAGGTGTGGGGCGTCCACCCTGTAGGCTGGTCCCTGGCGGAAAGAATGGCCGCGCCGCCCACCTCTGCCACGTCTCCTCCCACTGCTGCCGCATCTCCTTGCACCCGCCGCCCACCGCTGCCACGTCTCCTCCCACCCTCCACCACTGATGCCGCATCTCCTTGCACCCGCCGCCCACCGCTGCCACGTCTCCTCCCACCCGCCACCACTGTTGCCGCATCTCCTTGCACCCGCCGCCCACCGCTGCCACGTCTCCTCCCACCCTCCACCACTGCTGCCGCATCTCCTTGCACCCGCCGCCCACCGCTGCCACGTCTCCTCCCACCCTCCACCACTGTTGCCGCATCTCCTTGCACCCGCCGCCCACCAGTGCCACGTCTCTTCCCACCCGCCACCACTGTTGCCGCATCTCCTTGCACCCGCCGCCCACCGCTGCCACGTCTCCTCCCACCCTCCACCACTGTTGCCGCATCTCCTTGCACCCGCCGCCCACCGCTGCCACGTCTCCTCCCACCCTCCACCACTGTTGCCGCATCTCCTTGCACCCGCCGCCCACCAGTGCCACGTCTCTTCCCACCCGCCACCACTGTTGCCGCATCTCCTTGCACCCGCCGCCCACCGCTGCCACGTCTCCTCCCACCCGCCACCACTTCTGCCGCATCTCCTTGCACCCGCCGCCCACCTGCCACGTCTCTTCCCACCCTCCACCACTGTTGCCGCATCTCCTTGCACCCGCCGCCCACCAGTGCCACGTCTCTTCCCACCCGCCACCACTGTTGCCGCATCTCCTTGCACCCGCCGCCCACCAGTGCCACGTCTCTTCTCACCCGCCACCACTGTTGCCGCATCTCCTTGCACCCGCCGCCCACCAGTGCCACGTCTCCTCCCACCCGCCACCACTGTTGCCGCATCTCCTTGCAACTGCCGCCCACCAGTGCCACGTCTCCTCCCACCCGCCACCACTGTTGCCGCATCTCCTTGCACCCGCCGCCCACCGCTGCCACGTCTCCTCCCACCCGCCACCACTGTTGCCGCATTAACCTTGCACCCACCGTTGCCACGTCTCTTCCCACCCGCCGCCCACTGTTGCCGCATCTCCTTGCACCCGTCGCCCACCACTGCCACGTCTCCTTGCACCCGCCACCCACCCGTGCCACGTCTCTGTGCACCCGCCACCCACCAGTGCCACGTCTCCGTGCACCCGCCGCCCACCTCTGCTACGTCACCTTGCACTCGCCACCCACCTCTGCTACATCTACTCCCACCCGAAACCCACCAGTGCCACGTCTCCTCCCACCCGCCACCCACCTCTGCCACGTCTCGTTGCACCCACCACCCACCTCTGCCACATCTCCTCCCACCCGCCGCCCACCTCTGCCTCATCTCCTTGCACACTCCGCCCACCGTTGCCACGTCTCTTCCCACCCGTCACCCAAGGTTGCCATGTCTCTTTGCACCCACCACCCACCTCTGCCACATCTCCTTGCACCTACTGCTGCCACGTCTCCTTGCACCTGCCGCCCACCTCTGTCAAGTCGCGTTGATCCCGCCACTGCCACATCTCCTCTCACCTGCCACCCACCCCTGCCACGTCTCCTCCCACCCGCCACCCACATCTGCCACGTCTCCTTGCACCTGCCACCTCTCCTTGCACCCGCCACCCACCTCTGCCACGTCTCCTTGCACACGCCACCTACCGTTGCCACGTCTCTTCCCACACGCCACCCACCGTTACCATGTCTCCTTGCACCTGCTACCCACCTCTGACACGTCTCCTTGCACCCCGCCGCCCACCACTGCCACGTCTCTTCGCACCCAGCATCCACCTCTGCCACACTTTGCATCCGCCACCCACCGCTGATCAATATCTCGGAGTGTGGATAGATTCTAAAATGATATTCAACAAGCAAATTCAATATCTGAAAGAGAAAGCAAAATCACGACTGAATATAATGAGAACAATCACAGGGCCCAGTCTAAGAGCGGGACACAAAGTGTTAAGAATGTTTTACATACACTCCATTCGTTCCCTAGTTGATTATTCAGTGCCTGCCCTACTCACTCTTTCTCCTGGTCAGTGGGCAAACATTGAGGTTATTCAAAATGATGCAATATAAGTCATAACAGGAGCTCCCAGATGGACTAAAATACTGTACCTAAGAATAGAAACCAAACTAACGTCGATTGAAATATGGGTAAAAGGGATTGCTGCGTGCATGCTGACCAGGATATTGACTAGACCTAGAATCAGTTCACTTAAAGATATACTAAATGGAGCATTAACTTGGGACAGAAGAGCCTCTAATAGCAACAGGTGGACCCATTGTGTGATAAACACCATCAATACATTCAATATAACAAATACAGTCACTGAGAAGGGTGTCGACGAAATACATGCAGACTTTGTTATGCAAGCTCCTTGGGAATCTCTGCCAACAGACCTTAAGATTATGGTTCTTGAAGGAAAAAAGAACGAGACTAATCCTCATCTGCTATGTAATATTGCACAGATGCATATAGAAGCAAACTTGGCATCTGACAGCTTCACATACTTCACAGATGGATCAGTAGACCAGCAGAGACAAGAAATCGGAGCTGCAGTTAAAGCAGGAAACTCTGTAAATAGTTGGAGACTCTCAAATGGGTGTTCAACTTTACAAACAGAGATGATAGCCATTCAAAAGGCTGTGGAACATGCTCTTGCTGAACACCGACATGTTATCATATATACAGATTCGAGAACTGCCATTGAAACCTTGCAACAAGAACACATATGTGATAATATCCATCTGATCACAAATGTCATAACATTAATGCAAACACTCAAATGTCAAGGCCGTCGGGTACTTATCAACTGGGTGCCAAGTCATGTGGGAATAATAGGAAATGACATTTAGACGAAGCTGCAAAACTTGCAATTAAGAGAAGAAATATAGATATTTACATACCACAGAGTCTATCACAGATTATAAAAGTAATTAGAAACAGAGCAATGCAAAAGATGTACAGTGACCACAATACAGCAGTTGCAACATCAGGATCTGCGGATTGGTACAAGAATTTAACCAACTATGAACCACTTAGTTTGATGAAAGGGAGCAGTAGAACAACAGAAGTACACTAACATCGCATCAGGCTTGGATACCCATGTGCATGGGAAATAGGCTTACAGGTTCCGTTAGATGAGAGGAAATGTCAGCACTGTGGAGAAATGCCTGGCAGACCACTGGAACATTATCTAACACAGTGCAGAGTTACAAACCCATTATGATTTCAGCTTAGATTCAACAGAGCAGAAGAAGTTGTTAAACACATGGGACAAAATCTTACTGAAGCTTCCATACCAGTCATAAATACTCATACTCCGCCCAAGTAAAACAGAAACAAGCAACACTTAGTGGGCCAGCCAGAAGCTTAGGGCCTGCGCAGGAATATCCCTGCAAAAAAAAAAAAAAACTCCGCTGCCACATCTCCTCGCACTCGCCATTCACCGCTACCACATCTCGCACACGCCACCCACCCATGCCACATCTCTATGCACCCGCCACCCACCATTGCCACATCTCCTCGCACTCACCATCCACCTCTGCCACATCTCCTCATATACGCCACCCACTACTGCCACGTTTCGCACCCGCCACCCACCGCTGCCACGTTGCCTTGCACCCGCCACCTACCACTGCCACGTCTCCTTGCACCCGCCACCTACCGCTGCCACGTCTCTTTGCACCCGCCACCTACCTCTGCCACATCTTGCACCCGCCAGCTCAACCTCCTAAAGAAATTCTTTCTAATGTCTCAGGTGGAAACTGAGTGCCCAAATGAGCCACTATGTCCCCTTGTTCATGTTCCACTTGTGTCCCCTTGTTTGTGTTCCACCTATGCTATATAGTTTCTCTTTATCCACCCCTGTCAATTCCCCCGAGAATTTTGTAGGTGGTTATCATGTCTCCACTTACTTTTCTGTCTTACAGGGACGTGAGGTTTAGCTCCCTTAGCCTTTCCTCGTAGCTCATACCTCTCAGTGCTGGGACTAGTCTGGTGGCATACCTCTGAATCTTCTCTAACTTTGTATTGTGTTTAATTAGGTATGGACTCCAGGCTGGAGCTGCATACTCTAGGATTTGTCTGACATAAGTGGTATACAAGGTTCTGATCGATTCTTTACACAAGTTTCTAAAGGCAGTTTTTATGTTGGCCAGTCTAGCATATGCCGCTGATGATATCCTTTTGATGTGGGCCTCTGGGGACAGGTTCGGTGTGATATCAACCCTCAGATCTTTCTCACATTTTGACTCTTGCAGGATTTCACCTCCCAGATGGTACATTGTGTTCAGCCTTCTGCTCTCTTCGCCTAATTTCATTATTTTACACTTTCCTGAGTTGAACTTTAGTAATCATTTTCTAGACCATTCCTCCAGTTTGTCCAGGTCGTCCTGTAGTCTCTGACTATCTTTATCTGTCTTGATTCTTCTCATAATTTTTGGATCATCAACAAACATGGAGAGGAATGAGTCTATACCCTCTGGAAGATCGTTTACATATATTAGAAACAGGATGGGTCCAAGTACAGAGCCCTGTGGTACTCTGCTGGTGACATCTCGTCACTCTGATGTCTTCCCCCTCACAGTTACTCGCTGTTTCCTGTTGCTCAGATACTCCCTTATCCACTGGAGCACCTTACCTTTTACTCCTGCCTGTTGCTCCAACTTTTTGTTTTAACAGCCTTTTATGGGGTACTGTGTCAAAAGCTTTCTGACAGTATAAGAAAATGCAGTCTGCTCACCCTTCTCTTTCTTGCCTAATTTTTGTTGCTTGGTCATATTAACCCTGTGAGGCACGATTTACCATCTCTGAACCATGCTGGTGATGTGTTACAAACTATTTCCCTCCAGATACTCTATGAGCCTTTTCCTCAAAATCTTCTCCATCACCTTGCATGGTATACAAGTTAGGGAAACTGTCCTGTAGTTCAGTGCCTCTTGCTTCTTACCCATTTTGTATAATGGGACTACATTAGCTGCCTTCCAGCTTTCCGGTAAGTCTCCTGTTTCCAGTGACCTGTTATACACCATAGAGAGTGGTACACTTAGTGCTTCTGCACCTTCTTTTAGTATCCACGGTGAGATTCTGTCAGGCCCAACAGCCTTTGTCACATTCAGCTTCAACAGATTCCTTTTGAACTCAAAACTGGCGAGGTCAAAAGCCTCCAAGGTTGCTTGGTTTGCCTCCTCATTTAGCGCAGGGGCTTCTCCTTGTTCTTTTGTGAAGACCTCCTGGAATCTTTTGTTGAGTTCTTCACACACCTTGTCATTCTCTGTGTATCTATTCTCCCCTTTTCTCAGTTTCATCACTTGTTCCTTCACCGCTGTTTTCCTCCTGATGTGGCTGTGGAGCAGCTTTGGTTGGGTCTTGGCTTTACTCGCGATGTCATTTTCATACTATCTCTCTGCTTCTCTCCTCACTCTGAGGTACTCATTTCATGCACTCTCGTATCTCTCCCTGCTCTCTGGCATTCTATTATTCCTGTAATTTCTCCATGTTCTTTTACTCAATTGCTTTGCTGCCGCATATTCCTGATTGAACTATGGGTTCTTCTGTTGCTTTTCATTTTTCTCTTTTTGGGCCGGGATAAACCTGTCTGCAGCTTCCTGGCACTTCTGGGTGACATAATCCATCATATCCTGTACAGTCTTTTCTCCGAGTTCTGTTTTCCATGGTATTCCCATTAGGAAGTTCCTATTACACAATTTGCCCATGATTAAGGCGCGTCTGAGATAATCCCAGACGTAGGTTCGAACCCTCCTCACGGCCTTTGTGGATTTGTTCATTTGATGTATCACGCTATTGTGCTTTCTGTGTGTAATGAAGTATGGGCGAAGAGGTAGAACAGCTTATTGACAGAGCTCGGGTGCATGGGATAATTGTGTGAAAACCCTGGTTTGTGTCACGGAGAGACTGAAGGATCCGTGGTAGGTCAAGTTGATTTCCCGGTTGCAATTCTTTTGACCATGTCGTAGCTCGACATGGTCAAAAGATTTGACTGTATTTGTTATATCGTGGATTTTCTCAGGGATTCGCTTATGACTTGTCACTCTATCATTGCTAGAAATATAAATTTAGTTGTCAGAAAACAGAGAAAATAAACCCACTAATCAGCAGGGTTGCCCCCAGGCTAGTTACTTGACGTTATACAGGAAATATGTCCCAAAGAGACGGCTCGTTGACTAAGAGTCTCAGCCATGGCTTCCATCCCATACTGGCCTCCGAGTGCACGGTTAACGTGCCCACTAAACCAGACCATATGCCCACCAAAAAAATTAATCATCACCTTGAATTCCTGCCAGTTGGCAGGAAGAGCCACATACTTTAGATCACTCTAAGAGGTCAACAGCCCTCTCCATGTTATTACTGCTGGTCTGAGGCTCGTCCATATAAGTACCTCTGGTACCTGGCGCCCCCTACTTAAGTTTGCTGGTGGCCATGACGACTATCAACCATGTTATTAAGGTTATTATGACCACCACAACAGCTTACTGACCAACCAATAAGTATACTTTAGTCCAGAACAAAAGTAAACTCACAGTGTATATATATAAGCGAAGTATACCTCTCCATGTACATGTGTCTTGTCAATATAGAGCTGACCAAACAATAATAATTAATAATTCATGTGTCGGGCAGCCAGTGTATATATACAGGTGAGGCTTATAGTGAGGTTCCCCCCAGAGACGAACTACCGACCCCGCGCGGGATAGATCCCCCGCAACAATCACTCCCGGGTACCTACTGACTGCTAGGTGAACAGAGACATTAATTGGCGATAGGAAACGCGCTAGGTGAACAGAGACATTAATTGGCGATAGGAAACGCGTCCAGTGTAAATGTTATGAGCAAAACTGTTCACATAACTAACGAAACTCCGTAATTAACCGTATGTCATGCAAGAGTTCACGGGATAACTTCATCACAAATGTTAAAAAAATTATTTAGTTTAAATAGTAAATAATTACCTTTTAGTAATTGATTATTTTTAATTATTTTACTCAAGATTATGGGCAAGTAGCCCAGATTTGCTTATTGTAGATAATACACACTGTCTGTAACTTTGTATCGCCTTGTAACTTGATCACAATTTTGTAAGTATCTGAGCACATGCGTATATTACTTAGCTTAGAGTACATTGTGGTCTGGTTATGTCACTATAACATTCCCGCCGCCTCCAACAGTATGGGCCCAACCACTTGGATGTACGGTAGAGCAACGGTCTCGTTGCATGCAGGTCGGCGTTCAATCCCAGACCATCCAAGTGGCTGTGCACCATTCCTTTCCCCCGTCCCATCCCAAATCCTTATCTTGACCCCTTCCCAGTGCTATATAGTCGTAATGGCTTGGCGCTTTCCCATGTTAATTATCTCTCTATCTCCAACAGTATGGGTATGAGGGCCATAACAAAATGACTGCAGCAGCAACTAGTATTTAGCACATAGGATTTAATTTCGAAGGTGAAATTAAGGCTCTTGCTGATAAAGTAACCGCAGGGACAGCTCAGCCCCCTTGGTTTGGAGACCTTCACAGTAGTTTACCATATAAAATCCACGTAACATCTATTTTCTTTTATGCTTAGAATGCAAAAGAAAACGATTGCGTTGTTCATGACAAACTAAAATATATTAGCATTAGAATTTATTGGTTCTAATTTCATAAATGTTTTGTTCAAAGCAAGATTTATGAGCGTATTTTCTTTCAGCAAGTGTCACTGAAATAGAGTATCCAGCAGCAGGGTTTAGATAACTGTGGGTATTCTTCGGCAGATGTTAGAGGTAGCATCTCTAGCATCTACGATAGATGCTAGAGAACTGGGGTTTTCTATGGCAGGTGATAGAGAACTGAGGTGTTCTACGTCAGGTGTTAGAAAACTAAGGGTGTTCAACGTCAAGTGTTAGGGAACTTAAGTGTTGAACAAGTGTTGAAGAACTTGGGAGTTGTACCAGCACACATATGGACGATGGAACATATTAGTGCTAGAGGCATCCGTGTGATGCAGGAGGTGTGAGCCTGGTAGACCCCAGGTGAGGCCACCAGGCGAGGCCCCCAGGTGAGGCCACCAGGCGAGGCCCCCAGGTGAGGCCACCAGGTGAGGCAGGGAGCCTGGTGCACCTGAGACCCTCCTGCACCGCTCTACGTCATCGCTACTCTTATAAAGTAGGCGCTGCCATATTGAACTGTAAGAGTCCAGCACACCTCCACTGACAGTCACCACCACTCTCGGGCTGGGCTCTCCCTTCATCACCAAAGGGCTTTACGAAGGGCGGGGGGAGGGGAGGAGGGCGGGGAGAAGGGAGGAGGGCGGGGGGAAGGGAGGAGGGCGGGGGGAGGAAAGGAGGAAGGAAGAGTTGAAGTTCTGGAAGAGGATGTGGATAGGGAACGAGGACGCTGAAAGGTTCGGTGGCCTCTTTGGTTGCGGCACGTACGGCAGGTGCGGCAGGTGCGGCAGGTGCGGCAGGTACGGCAGGTGCAGCAGGTGCGGCAGGTGCGGCAGGTGCGGCAGGTGCGGCAGGTGCGGCAGGTGCGGCAGGTGCGGCAGGTGCAGCAGGTGCGGCAGGTACGGCAGGTGCGGCAGGTGCGGCAGGTGCGGCAGGTGCAGCAGGTGCGGCAGGTACGGCAGGTGCGGCAGGTGCGGCAGGTACGGCAGGTACGGCAGGTGCAGCAGGTGCGGCAGGTGCGGCAGGTACGGCAGGTACGGCAGGTGCAGCAGGTGCGGCAGGTGCGGCAGGTACAGCAGGTGCAGCAGGTGCGGCAGGTGCGGCAGGTGCGGCAGGTACGGCAGGTGCGGCAGGTGCAGCAGGTGCAGCAGGTGTGGCAGGTACAGCAGGTGCGGCAGGTGCGGCAGGTACAGCAGGTACAGCAGGTGCGGCAGGTGCAGCAGGTGCAGCAGGTGCAGCAGGTGCGGCAGGTACAGCAGGTGCGGCAGGTGCGGCAGGTACAGCAGGTGCAGCAGGTGCGGCAGGTGCGGCAGGTACGGCAGGTACGGCAGGTGCAGCAGGTGCAGCAGGTGCGGCAGGTGCAGCAGGTGCGGCAGGTGCGGCAGGTGCGGCAGGTACAGCAGGTGCGGCAGGTACGGCAGGTGCAGCAGGTGCAGCAGGTGCGGCAGGTACAGCAGGTGCGGCAGGTGCGGCAGGTGCAGCAGGTGCGGCAGGTACAGCAGGTGCAGCAGGTGCGGCAGGTGCGGCAGGTGCGGCAGGTGCGGCAGGTGCGGCAGGTGCAGCAGGTGCAGCAGGTGCGGCAGGTGCGGCAGGTGCGGCAGGTGCAGCAGGTGCGGCAGGTGCAGCAGGTGCGGCAGGTGCGGCAGGTACGGCAGGTGCGGCAGGTGCAGCAGGTACAGCAGGTGCGGCAGGTGCGGCAGATACAGCAGGTGCGGCAGGTGCAGCAGGTGCAGCAGGTGCAGCAGGCACAGCAGGCAGGTGCGGCAGGTGCGGCAGGTACAGCAGGTACAGCAGGTGCGGCAGGTGCAGCAGGTGCGGCAGGTGCGGCTGGTGCGGCAGGTGCAGCAGGTGCAGCAGGTGCGGCAGGTGCAGCAGGTGCAGCAGGTGCGGCAGGTGCAGCAGGTGCAGCAGGTACAGCAGGTACAGCAGGTGCGGCAGGTGCGGCAGGTACGGCAGGTGCGGCAGGTGCAGCAGGTGCGGCAGGTGCAGCAGGTGCGGCAGGTGCGGCAGGTGCAGCAGGTGCGGCAGGTGCGGCAGGTGCGGCAGGTGAGGCAGGTACAGCAGGTGCAGCAGGTGCGGCAGGTGCGGCAGGTGGAGGAGAGAGAGGAGGGGCGGGCAGAGTGGGACAGTAATAGTAGTGACTGGTGGAGGTCAGCGGCGGACGGTAGTACACTCACTATAAAAAGACTGTTTACAGTCTCTTTTAGAAGTGAGTCAGAGGATGAGTAACTCACTCACCATCTCTCTCTCTCTCTCTCTCTCTCTCTCTCTCTCTCTCTCTCTCTCTCTCTCTCTCTCTCTCTCTCTCTCTCTCTCTCTCTCTCTCTCTCTCTCTCTCTCTCTCTCTCTCTCTCTCTCTCTCTCTCTCTCTCTCTCTCTCACCATGTTCTTCAGTCCCACACTATCTCAATCTATAACACTATAGGTACAGCAGGTGCTGTACCTCACTGTCAACACTATCAATCACTATATACACTAACCCACCACACCGCTGCCACGATGCTGGTCTCAGAGCTGATAGGTGTGAGTTGCGAGGAAAGACTTAAGGAATTACTATTCGACAAATCGCTATTAGGAATGGTGAGACACTTATATGCCTGGGGACACATGATTACTACATACAAGATTCTCAGGGGCGCTGCCAGGGTGGACAGGTGGTACACGAACAAGGAGACTGAACTCCTGCGAACTAAATACATAAATTAGCCAATGAGACAAGAATTTTCTCAGTGTTTTCAATGTATTTTTTCAGAATTATAAAATAGTGAACAAAGGCTCCATACATAGTTTCAAGTGTAGACACGAGAGAGCCCAATAGGCTCAGGAACCTGTACACCAGTTGATTGAAAGTTGAGAGGCGGGGCCATGGAGCTGAAGCTTAAGACTCAAGAGCACAATTCCCCGCCACAGCACACACCTCCCTACACCCGTGTGTACACACACACTACACCCATCAGTAGGGTGGTACAGTCTGGTTTCTTCTCGACTCACAATCGACAACTCCAGGTTCGAGTCCCAGGCGGGACAGAAATGGCTGGGGGCGTTTCCTATCACCTAATACACTAATTGCACACTAGTTTCTTTATCAGCTACCTCACCCTGTCAGAGTAAAGAGTCAAATGTATGTGTATATGTATATATGTGTGTGTATATATATGCATGTATATATGTGTGTGTATATATATGCATGTATATATGTGTGTGTATATATATGCATGTATATATGTATATGTATGTATATGTGTGAGTATACATACATATATAAAGTATATGTGGAAGCTGATCAGAATTACATTTCACCTTTGTAAATGCACATTAATACATTAATGACACCATGTAAAAGGCACATCGAACACTTTATGTAGGGCATACGTAAATCTGTGTATCTATGTATTTACGTATGTAGGTTAGCCTAGCATTTTAAAATCCCTACAATCACCTTCTGTGGTTGAGTGTTCAATAAATCACTGAACTATATGTTTAACACATCTCTCACCCTGTCCATGGAGGACAGAAGAAAATGTATATATGCTGGTTAGCATTGTTAATGTGTTGCCACGTCTGTGGTAGAAAAATAATAATAATAAAAAAACACTAGTACACCTGTTTACCTACCAGTAAATAGGTACCTGGGAGTTAGTAAACTGTTGTGGGTGGCATCTCGGAGAGGGCAGTACTTCCATCTTGGACGGACCTCGATATAAGCTTAACATGGATATATGTATATATATACACACAGGCTGGCTGTCCCCGACAACATCAATTATAATTATCACGGGGCTAAAAATATTACCATCATCCGGGCAGGCTTGGAGAGCCTTGACACATGCCACAAGTGTCACGCTGTGTCAAGTTTACCAAGACAAAGACCTGGCCGGAGTGCCAGAGTGCCAGAGTGCCAGAGACCACACAAACTCTAACTTATCTGCCATAACCCTCGACCCTGGCACTCCGGAGGCCACCACAGTGCCAATTATCCCGAGGTATGATACCTACAGTGCCTAGTGGGAGCAGTTTGTGGTGAGGTACGGGGCCCTCGTGTCTTGTACAGTGTGGGGGCCCTCGTGTCTTGTACAGTGTGGGGGCCCTCGTGTCTTGTACAGTGTGGGGGCCCTCGTGTCTTGTACAGTGTGGGGGACCCGTCTTGTCTTGTACAGTGTGTGGGGCCCTCATGTCTTGTACAGTGTGGGGTGAAGCATGAGGGCCCACATGTCAACTGGTAGGGAGTGGGCTGGTAGGGTGTGGGCCCCAGGAGTGTGGACCCCAAGAGTGTGGGCCCCAGGAGTGTGGCCCCCAGGAGTGTGGGCCCCAGGAGTGTGGGCCCCAGGAGTGTGGGCCCCAGGAGTGTGGCCCCAGGAGTGTGGGCCCCAGGAGTGTGGGCCCCCCAGGAGTGTGGGCCCCAGGAGTGTGGGCCCCAGGAGTGTGGGCCCCAGGAGTGTGGGCCCCAGGAGTGTGGGCCCCAGGAGTGTGGGCCCCAGGAGTGTGGGCCCCAGGAGTGGGCCCCAGGAGTGTGGCCCCAGGAGTGTGGGCCCCAGGAGTGTGGGCCCCAGGAGTGTGGGCCCCAGGAGTGTGGGCCCCAGGAGTGTGGGCCCCAGGAGTGTGGGAGTGTGGGCCCCAGGAGTGTGGGCCCCAGGAGTGTGGGCCCCAGGAGTGTGGGCCCCAGGAGTGTGGCCCCAGGAGTGTGGGCCCCAGGAGTGTGGGCCCCAGGAGTGTGGGCCCCAGGAGTGTGGGCCCCAGGAGTGTGGGCCCCAGGAGTGTGGGCCCCAGGAGTGTGGGCCCCAGGAGTGAGGTGATAGCCTAACATCTAGTAGTACCGATGGTAAGCCACTTGACTGACAGCTTGACACAAGTGACACAAGTGAATCACCTCTTTACATAGAGCAGCTTCTTCTCTTGATTTCCACTCCGTAAATAAGGCAACCTTTTTATGTAACCAGAAATGTACGATTGCAAGCAAGCCACCTAGCCTATAGAGTCCAGTACATAGAAAACATGAATATTTGTAAACCATTACTCTTCTTAATAGGTTGCATTTGTAACGTTGGCACCATAACGCAAAACAGGCGACCAGTTAGTAGAGGGACGAGTTACTTTAAGATCGGCACCACATTGACAACCCTCCACGCTCCGGTACTCTGCTCCACGCTAATGATATATGAAATATGCAAAACAGAGGCTCATTAAGCTCGTCTTACATTCCTTAATGGCTCTGCCCAAGCGAGCCCGGTGCTCAGACCAAATTCATTACCGTGAGAACCCCCCCCCCCCCCCCCGCCCCCCGCCCCCACAAGCCACCCGGATAGTTATCTAGATATTTGTGAGGGTCTGAAACCATATTACAGTTCCAGTTATAGTCTTCATGTAAACTGACAAGTGAACCTTTGTCCTAAACTGAGATTTTCTCAACTTATAGCTTTATTATATTATAAATCGTTTGTTTAAAATTGTCTGTAAATTGAATTCTCGGCTACACTGAAATAGTTTTCAAATTCTATATTTCACATTATCATCAATAATACATCGTATTAACGTAACCAAACACAATGAAACCTAACCAAACCTAACAATGGAAAGAAAGTAGGTCATAACACTAATTATGTAATCATTCTTAATCCATTTCTGTTAGCAGAGTTCCTCCCTGAGGACAGGTAGGCCTAAGTCTTCGTTTGGTTCCGGAACTTGTTCAGCTTTACTTATTTGCTATCACCTCAGTCTGCTATCTGAGCTTTACTTACTTGCTATCACCTCAGTCTGCAATCAGAATAATAACAAACTCTGCCTTCAGACAACACTCAGCTCCCTTGTTAAATCCCTAAACATGCTAAACATAGACTCACTCCACACATTCTCTTGTGTCAATTACATGTATAAAACCCTGTTCTTAAATGCAAACCATGCTCTGAAACTCTCCCTGGACAGATGTAATAAGACCCATTATCACCACACCAGAAATAAATATATCTTTGATATCCCCAGAGTCAAACTTAATCTCTGTAAACACACTATGCAAATAAAGTAACCTAGTCTATGGAACTCACTCCCTTATGAATTGAAAAGCTGTCCAACTTTTGCCTCATTAAAAAAAAGTACATAATTTCATCTTCATAGTTTCCTATCTAATGCTTTAAACTGGCACTGTATCTAGTGCTACCCAGTCCCCCAATATATGTATACCTAAGCCAAACAACTTTACCATTGTGATCATTGCTGTCATCTTATTTGTGCTATGAATATGCTTTATTGTGCCTATTAACCTTTGTCATATTATCAATCAAGCTGTCAATGCTATCAATCAGAGCTATCGACGTGCTTTAATGTACCTACTAATCTATCTCATTTTTTTATTGCAATCTACCTGTTAACATTTTAAAAATTTTGCTAGAATTTACCTACTTAAAGTAAGTAATTATCAAAAGAAGGCACCAAACCGGGAAGGCTATGTAGCACCATCAAATGTGTGGGACAATCAGAGGGCGCTTTACCTACTTAAAATTATCTGTTAGATGAAGGAGCTGCCCGAAACGCTGCGCGTACTAGTGGCTTTACAAGATGTAAACACAATGCTACGTATCCTCACAAACCCAATGTACCTTCTTGTGTGTATATATAAATAAATAAATTTGTTTAACAACATTATCGTGGTACCCACTGAACTAGTCAACTTGTCCTCTACAGCACTAAATAGATCTGTTCAGTACAGGTAAAATACGAAGTTCTTCTCTAGTAAATACAGAAACGATTTCTTATTAATAATACCGCTCATTTCTTTGTCATTATCAGTTACTTGACCTGTCTAACTGTTCAGTTCTTCGTGCACCTCACTTGTGCACTATTCTGCTATCCTGGCACTAAACACAATTTGTTTAATGTCTCTCTTGCTCATTTTGGTACTTAGTTTTAACCTGAATTCCCTTGTTCGTGTTCCAACAATGCTAAATAGTCAGTCCTTGTCTTCCCAGTCAATTCCCCGAGTATTTTTGTATGGGGTGATCATGTCTCCCTTGTTTCTCTCTTCTAGTGTGGCTAGGTATCATTCCTTTAGTGTTTCCTGGAGACTCATACCTCTCAGCTCTGGGACCCCTCTGGTGGTAAACATCTGAATTTCTTCAGCTTCATATTATGTTTAACCATATAAGGCCTCCATGAAGGTGCTGCATATTCCAGATTTGCTCCGACACAAGTGTAGGCAAGGTTTTAAACGTCTCCTTATTCAGGTTCATAAAATCAATTGTTATGATGGCCATCCTTGTGCCTGGAGGAGGGTGCGTGTAGCGCCTGTGATGACGGGGACACCACCTGGTGAGAGCTTACCTTACTACTGAAACATTTGCCAGCAACCCACTACCATGGTGCCGCGACACCACGGAGCACCATTATGAGCGCCCACAGTAGCACCAGCAGCACCCTGGTGCCCCACAGTCATTCCCTTGGCAGACTGTGGGCACCCAAGTGTATTACAGGCAGACTGTGGGCACCCAAGTGTATTACAGGCAGACTGTGGGCACCCAAGTGTATTACAGGCAGACTGTGGGCACCCAAGTATATTACTGGGAGACTGTGGGCACCCAAGTATATTACAGGCAGAATGTGGGCACCCAGGTGTATTACTGGCAGACTGTGGACACCCAAGTGTATTACTGGCAGACTGTGGGCACCCAGGTGTATTACTGGCAGACTGTGGGCACCCAGGTGTATTACTGGCAGACTGTGGGCACCCAGGTGTATTACAGGCAGACTGTGGGCACCCAAGTATATTACAGGCAGACTGTGGGCACCCAAGTATATTACAGGCAGACTGTGGGCACCCAAGTATATTACAGGCAGACTGTGGGCACCCAAGTATATTACAGGCAGACTGTGGGCACCCAAGTATATTACAGGCAGACTGTGGGCACTCAGGTGTATTACAGGCAAACTGTGTAAACCCAAGTGTATTACTGGCAGACTGTGGGCACCCAGGTGTATTACTGGCAGACTGTGGACACCCAAGTGTATTACTAGGAGACTCTCGACAGGTAATGTATGCACATGACTGTAAAGCTGCCGCCCAGTTGGGTGGGTGTGGAGCAAGACTAGTAACTGTGTGACTTACCATAGATGTAAAGTGCCTTGTATAGTGACTGTTGTGAACCTCTTGTTGAATCACTTGTGATATAAAAAAATAATTGATATATATATATGCATTTGTATACTTGGATGTATATGTACATGTGTATGTAACATTCAAAATTTTGTAACTAACTTCAAAAGATTATCAAAAGACGGGCTACATTATGTAGCCCGTCCACGTAAATAAAGGCCAAAGTCCATTCCATGCACCCGCCAAACCCCCTGTTTATGAATGAAAAACGGTTTACACACGACTCACAACTGCTGACGTTCGAACACTTCCGGAACAACTGCTTCACTGACGAATTGTGTTCGAACCACAACGCTGTAAATGCTTCACCCACGTACTACAAATACAAATAATCGCCAACAGAACCTAAACACCTAACCTATGTCTATATATGCACAATATGCTAATATATTATAATATTCATTTTGTATTGTTACATACACATGTATATTTGAGAAAATTCCCGTTTTGAATGAACAGCATGTAAAAATTGATGAATTTTTGACCGACCGCTGGATGGAATGGAGTCGGTGTGAGGACGGGTTGACTGGAGGCGTCTCCACACCTGGGGATCGCTGGGAGAATGTGGACAGGGAGGGGGATTACTGTGAGAGTTTGGACACCTTGGAGGGATTACTGTGAGTACCTTTGTGTAGGTGAGTGTGGTAACCTTGCGAGGCGCTGCGTGACGCCGGGCTCACACCTACACCTGTGACTCACTAATGACTCAACACCGGCGTAAACATTAGTGTTCTCAACCCACCTCACACACCTGGCAGTCAGCTGTTACCCCCGGCCCGCCACCTGTGAGGCCCACGCGGCCTGCAGGTGTCGGCAGTGACCGCCGCAGACAGGGCAGGAGCAGCGCAACAATACAACACAAGACACCTGCTGCTGCTGGTGCTGCTGCTGCTGCTGCTGCTCTCAGGCACAGATATAAATTAGTTTTTCTTGTGCTGCTCTGCCATATTGGTCTCACGCAAGTTTTTTATTTTTATTTTAAATATATGAGTGTGTGTGTGTGTTGCAGGAGCAGGTGGTGTGGGGGGGGGGGAGTGTATACTGAAGCAAGCAAGGTTGTAAGGTGTGTTGGGCTTCACCTCCTGGGTCCTGCCTGTGGCACTACGAGACCAAGTGCCAGGGGACGCCAGGACGCTGGAGACCCAGATGTACACAAGTGTGGTACTAGAACAGCCCTGTGAGGGCTTGATACAGGTCACCACAGGTCGGGGCCGCTGATTCAGGGTGAAGCTTATCCTTAAGCTGGACTAGGGGTCACAAGGCACTTGTTACTATAGCTACGACCTCTCTCTACATACCTCTTAACTCCAGAGGCTTAGTCTCTATAACAATATAATATAAGAAAACTGAAGTAATTCTCTGTAGACTATTCGAGACAGCACTTATTTATATCCACTCAAATGTATCAATATATATATGTGTGCGCCCTACGCTGGAAACACTCCAGTGGTCCAGGAGTGTTGCTGGTAATGTGGACCTGGACACACCCACCATCGTCGCGCCTGCTGACAAACCTGTACATCTTTACTCAGTCTCTGGCGGCTTTGGTTACATATATTAAGCAGTTTATTAGCTCTGAATCACAGGCGTTATTTATAACAATAATAACATTTGGCTGGAGTTTCGATGTTAATAAACTGTTTAATAAATGTAAAGGAAGTCTTTTCCCAAAGACTGAGAAAAGATATACAAGTTCCTAAGTATTTGTGTTGTTGGATGCTGGTGTTGTTCCATAACTACTGACCACCTTACTTATATGTCATTTGGTGCACGTTGGTGGCCTCAACCATGCCACCTTGTGCTCTCCGTCTGTGGGAATACATCCAGTAAATTTTTGTTAACTCTTCCCATAATACAACGTCTGGTCAACTTTATAATGCGACGGTGAGGCGGAGCATCAGAGGTACAGTGTCACAATCCTTCCCGCTCTCGACTGCTTGAAATATACTGGATGGTAATGAGAGTAAATTTGTTAAAGATGAGCGGCAGTTAGTGAAGCCATCGTGTGAACCTCTTGATGTTATACGACCTCAGCACCGGTACAAGGTCGTCCCCAGTCCAAGTTTATGATTGTGGACGACCTCGTGGCGCCTCCGAGCTCGTAAGCCCTTTAATAAATACAAAGTTGCTATGAGCGAGATAAGAGGCGCACATCTCCTAAGTGACACTATCTGACACGCCGTCAAATGTTTTTATTGTGTTGACTAACCAGAAGTGTCGGAACCCCAGCCCAGCACCCGACCCTATGACGGCCAGTGCTCACCATACGTCAACATTACGGTGCTTTAAGTGTCACCCAAACCCTGCAATGTTGAGTGTTTGGGCGAGTGGGTCAAGAATATGATGTGTGAGGTGAGAGGACAGGTGCCAGGGCCCCGGCACCAGCCGGCACACACCTGTCACACATGTGAAGCATTTCATTAACACCTGACACTCTTACCTTATTATTTATTGACTAATATCTGCAGGTGCTAATGACCTGAGGCAATATGGCTCCCATCACACCTGGTGGAATACAATAGCCTCCCATCACACCTGGTGGAATACAATAGCCTCCCATCACACCTGGTGGAATACAATAATATTAACAGTTTCCGTGGTGTAGTGGTAAGACACTCGCCTGGCGTTCCGCGAGCGCTATGTCATGGGTTCGTATCCTGGCCGGGGAGGATTTACTGGGCGCAATTCCTTAACTGTAGCCTCTGTTTAACGCAACAGTAAAATGTGTACTTGGATGAAAAAACGATTCTTCGCGGCAGGGGATCGTATTCCAGGGACCATAGGATTAAGGACTTGCCCGAAACGCTACGCGTACTAGTGGCTGTACAAGAATGTAACAACTCTTGTATAAATCTCAAAAAAAAAAAAAAAAAAAAAAAAAAAAAAATATGGCTCCCATCACACCTGGTGGAATACAATAGCCTCACATCACACCTGGTGGAATACAATAGCCTCACATCACACCTGGTGGAATACAATAGCCTTGTATTGTTAATAATGTAGATAGCTGTTATGTATGATAATTTCCCCCCAGTAAGCTGGAGGTAGTTAATATATGCTTTTACTATATCTCTAGACGAGTATTGTTGGGATTTATCTGGGGTATCGTCCCCAGCCTTCCCTCAGGGGTATCGTCCCCAGCCTTCCCTCAGGGGTATCGTCCCCAGCCTTCCCTCAGGGGTATCGTCCCCAGCCTTCCCTCAGGGGTATCGTCTCCAGACTTCCCTCAGGGTATCGTCCCCAGCCTTCCCTCAGGGGTATCGTCCCCAGCCTTCCCTCAGGGGTATCGTCCCCAGCCTTCCCTCAGGGGTATCGTCCCCAGCCTTCCCTCAGGGGTATCGTCTCAAGCCTTCCCTCAGGGGTATCGTCCCCAGCCTTCCCTCAGGGGTATCGTCTCAAGCCTTCCCTCAGGGGTATCGTCTCAAGCCTTCCCTCAGGGGTATCGTCTCAAGCCTTCCTCAGGGGTATCGTCCCCAGCCTTCCCTCAGGGGTATCGTCCCCAGCTTTCCCTCAGGGGTATCGTCCCCAGCCTTCCCTCAGGGGTATCGTCTCAAGCCTTCCCTCAGGGGTATCGTCCCCCAGCCTTCCCTCAGGGGTATCGTCCCCAGCTTTCCCTCAGGGGTATCGTCCCCAGCCTTCCCTCAGGGGTATCGTCTCAAGCCTTCCCTCAGGGGTATCGTCCCCCAGCCTTCCCTCAGGGTATCGTCCCCAGCCTTCCCTCAGGGGTATCGTCTCAAGCCTTCCCTCAGGGGTATCGTCCCCAGCCTTCCCTCAGGGGTATCGTCCCCAGCCTTCCCTCACGGGTATCCTCCCCAGCCTTCCCTCAGGGGTATCGTCCCCAGACTTCTCTCAGGGGTATCGTCTCAAGCCTTCCCTCAGGGGTATCGTCCCCAGACTTCTCTCAGGGGTATCGTCAGGGGACAACACAGCTTCTCCACCCCCATAAGCCTACTCCCCCCCCCCCCCGTCAGCGTGGCCGGGGCAAGAAATAGTAACTGGAGCAGACTGTGGGTGGGCGCTCAGGGCTGGTATGAACACTCACGTTAAGAGATTTACCTTGTGATCTGTGTGTGTCTCCCTCGGCCACTTGGCTCCCTCGGCCAC